AGATTCACAGCAATCACGAGTTACCTTCAGTTAATTTCTTCAATAAAGAAATGAATAAGGGTTATTATAAACCTGGATACATTTATGCTCAGGTTTTATAACAATTTTGTCTTTTGTCCTTTTAATAAAGTTTAAAGTCTGTAAGTACCTATCAGAAAAAAAAAAAGATGAAAAAGACAAGTTTAATGGACAAAGGACTTTTTTAATAGGCATTACTCCTTTTTAATAGGCATTACTCCAAAGAAGTAGGCAACAAGTCAGCATGCCTCCAGAAACTCTATGAACATTAGTAAATGTTGTTAGGTGTAAAGGGGCTTCAGGCCTTATGTTCATAGAGTCACCGTGAGTCGTGGTTGACTCAAAGGCAATCAGCAACACCAACAATCTATCATTAAGAAGTATGAGTAACAGTCACAATGAGATACCAGTTCACACCTAGAAATGTGATAATAATTCTTAAATGGGAAATTAACAAATGTTGAAGAATGTAGAAAAAACCTGAAACTTACATTGCTTGTAGAAATGTAAAATATTGCAGCTACTGTGGAGAACAATTTGACAATTCCTCAATAGCTTAAAAAAAGTTAGAATTACTACATTGAACAGTAATTCCACTCTTGGGAATATATCCAAAATGATTGAAAACAAATATTCAGACAGACACTTGTACAGGAATGCTCATAATAATATTGTTCACAATAGCCATTCACAAGAATATTCATTCATAAGTTGTAGTAACAACTTCTAATGGTAAAAACAAAATGTTTATATATATATATATATACATACATATACATATACATACATACACACACAAAGTAGAGTGTTCTTCAGTTATAAAGAGAAACAGTGTTCTCATACATACAAGACATGGATAGACTTGGAAAACATGGTGATAAGTGAAAGAAAGCAAAGGACAACTAGTGTGTGTTTCTACTTAAGTGAAATGCCTAAGAGAGAAAGTGAAAAAGATGTTACCAAGGGTTAAGACTAGGAAGAAAATGAGAAATTAACTGTTTACTAAGATCATAGTTGGGGAATTCCTGCCTAATGAGTACAGAATTTGTTTGGGATTAAAAAACCTTTGGAAATAGAGATGTTATTTGCACTTTGTGAATTTACAAAACACTGTTGAATTAGACACTTAAAAACTGATGCCTTTGAGTTGTGGTACTGGTAAAGAATATTGAACATACCGTGAACCTGCCAAGAACACTAACAGGTCTCTCCTGGAAAGAATGAAACCAAGCTGTTCCTTGGATTTTTTTTTTCTTTTAATTGTTTGTGTTTGGATTTATGGTTTTGTTTGTTTGTTTTTAAGCTTTACACTGGTTACCTATAGAGTTCATATACATTGCCCCTCACACAAGATCACCTCCCCAACCTGTTGCAGACTGAGCATAAAGTTAAAAAAATGAGACAGAACACAAAAAAATGAGATAAAACAAGAGTATAAAAAACAGGGGACCAGCAGCTCGAATCACCTGAAGCAATACAAGCCACGCCTCTCTGTATATTTATTGAGAATCAGGGGAAGTAAATCATAAAGAGAATTCTCTTGTAAATGAAGCCGAGTTTTTCTCTCTTGTCAACCTGATGCTTAGCTCAGGAAGGAAGTATTTCACACTTAATTAACTCTCCCTCTGTAGGGGGATCCTAACTGCCTCTTGTGTGCAGGAAGCAGCTCATTTCCTGTGATCTGTCACAAGAGAAATTCCAACTTAAAATTTTGTGATTCCTTCAATTACTGATTAAGCATATGGTTTATCATATAATATTTGGTATGAAATTTGACTTCCCACACCAACACACCCCCCTCCACCCATCAAACCGTGCAGGCCCATGATTACCCGACTCCTGCACATCCTCTTCCCTGTACTGCCCCACCTTAAATCCTCATACACATTTTACTGTTGTTGTTGTTGTTGCTGTTATGTGCCATCCAGTCACCTGCGACTCATAGCGACCCTATGTACAACAGCCCTAAACTCTGCCCTATCCTCCCTCTCCCCAACTCCTCATCCACTCCACTTAGCTATGCACCTTTTATTCTGGACTGTTGTCATGCAAATAATGCCTAATCATATATTCCCTTTAAACAGTTCTTTCCTTCATCTATCCCGATGCATTTGTTCATTATTTATCCTCTCCTTTCTTAATTTTCCCCAACCCCTGTATCCTGTTTTATAACAGTAGTTTTATGCAGTATTTATTCTTTTGTGACTGAGATATTTCACTCAGCATAATGTTCTCCAAGCTAACCTATGTTGTATAATATTTTATGAGTTCCTTGTTTTTCAGTGATGTATTCCATTGTGTATGCCATAGTTTTTCTATCCATTCATTTGTTGATGGGCACTTGGGTTGCTTCCATCTCTTTGCTATTGTGAATAACACTGCAATAAACATGAGTGGTGGTGGTGGTGGTATTGTTTGATGCCGTCCAGTCTTAGACGACTCATAGCGACCCTATGAACGAAAAGCCTGAGCACTGTTTGTACATAGAGTTTCCGGAGGCAAACCATTTCGGAAGTGGATGCCACTCCTGCTTCCAGGCTTGGTTTAGTTGGGAAGCTCCAGCCAACACTGTCCACCATGGGTACCCATTACCACGATTGGCACATCACTGTCACAGTCTTCAGCATCACAGCAACCACGAGTTACCTCTGTACTGCAACTCACAGACCAGTGCTATACCACCTAGAAGAATGTTTGACAGGAAAACAATTTGAACCTGGCCAAGGGCCGCAGATGAAAATCACCCACCTTCGGCTTGGTAGCATAACTTTCTTTCCACTAGGCCAACGTAGCTCTCTCTTTGTCATTGTCGTTGTTATTGTTGTTTGGTACCGTCGAGTTGTAGACGACTCATAGCAACCCTATGAACAAACAGTCTGAGCACTGTTCATACATAGAGTTTCCGGAGGCAAGCCATTTCGGAAGTGGATGCCGCTCCTGCCTCCAGGCTTGATTTAGTCGGGAAGCTCCAGCCAACACTGTCCACCATGGGTGGCCATTACCACGATTGGCACATCACTTGTCACAGTCTTCAGCATCACAGCAACCACGAGTTCCCTCTGCACAGCAACACACAGACCAGTGCTGTACTGGTTTGTTTTCCTTTCAAAACATGAGTGTAGGGATGCATATTTCAGTGGTAAAATTCTGGATGTGATTACCAGAAAAATCCGAATAGGAATGATAATTACCCCAGGTTCTGTACAGACCAGGCATTGAAAGACTGCTTGCACATCGTCACTGGCATTTAGAAATGAGGCTACATATTGTCATTTCTTCTCCAGAGTCTTCGGGTGCACGCCAGATAACTGAGGTTTGTGTGGGCAGTTGTGAGGTGGTGTTGAGACAGTTCTGACTCAGAGCGGCCCTTTGAATACAGCAGAGCATTTGATCCAACAAAACGAAACACTGCTTTGTCCTGCACCATCCTTAACATCATCATTGTGTTTGAGCCCATTGTTACACGAGCTACAAAGTGTTAAGCTTCTCTTGCCAAACATTCTGACAGATGGATAGACTATAAGAAGTAGCTTGAGAATTGGGATTTTTTTTCTATGTTTCAACTAAATGAGCTCCATTTGTTTCATCCTTGGATAAGTTTTTCTCCCACAAGTTTCTCTGCCTTTTTCCTGTCTAAGAAATCTGTAGCATGTCTTTGATTGGAAAACATAGTCCTGGGTCTTGAATCTGTTCTCTAAGGAGAATTTATCTGGGTCGAACAGCAGGGACTCTTTAGAATCAAGTTCTTCTCTCTCAAACAATTTTATGGATGAGTCCATTTCTGTATTATCAGTGAACTTATTATGGTAGGTGTCCTCGTTTGTAAAAGAGCAGAGAGTAGGCTTATAAGGCCTACCAGCAGCTGTGCAACCTGGTCTATGTTTTCTCTGAACTTCTGTGATCCCTAGTGAGAAGGCGAGTATTAGGTTAGAGACCAGCTGAAGCTCAGAGTTTTAAGAGAGTTCCTAAAGCACTCTTCCTGCTAAGAATAAATTCAGGGGAGGTTCTTACCTTTGCAGTACTTCTTTCCATAAACAGGACGGTGATGGGGGTGGGAGACGAAGATGCTGCTGTTTTCCTTTAGCCCTGATTGTTTTTTAATTAAACTGTCTCTATAACAGTTCATGGATTCTTAATGCAAGAACTTTAAAAAAACTGTTTTGAAATAATTTTATTCTCTCAGTAAGAAGATAGCTGTCACTCATTAACCATTTGGATATTTATCCAAAAAGTGAAATAAAAATGGAGTACATGGTATAGCCATTCTGGAAGGCAGTTTGGCATTTCCTCAAAAGACTGAACATAGAAGTTCTATGACCCATGGATTGAGAAATTGTGGTACATTTCACATGATGGATGCTGCTATGCAGCACGCAGGAGCAATGATTTTTAAAAATATATAACATGAGAGAGGTGGGAAAGCATTATGCTGAGTGAACTCGCTCATTTTCATAAGGACAAATACTGTATAAGACTATTATTATATGGGGGTGAGAGGTCAGATGAGGACAAGAAAAAGAAAACTTTTTTAAAAAAAAGATAATTATTGTAAAATCAGAAGGATTATTAGTAAGATGTATACAAAAGTCTAAAGGGAAAAAGGGAGGGAGGTGAAGGGGCTAAGAGTGGGGAGGAGGAGAAATCTTGAGGTCACAGTTATGTGGGCAGAGTTGAAGGAATTGAAGATCCGGTGGGGAAAAAGATGGGGTAATGATGGACATGAATCAGTTGGGATTAATTTTATAAAAACAGTGTCTGAGAATGATACCTTGAAGCACCATGTGAGTAGTAGAATGTGTGAAACACAATATATATATATATATATATACAAAAAAAAGAAGAAAAATGGAATGTGTGTTTTTATAGTTGGAGTTGTACACTGTAGAAGTTGCTGTTTGCTGTTACTGTGCCTTTTGTCCCCATCATATACGTTCCTGGCCACGCTCAGTGCATCTCTGTTACAATTTTCCCCCATCCTCTAGGCCTTGGAGTACCTGTTCAAGTTCATTGTGCAGTCGCGGATCCTGTACTCACGAGCCACATGTGGGATGGAGGAGGAGCAGTTCCGGTCCAGCATCCAAGAACTTTTCCAGTCCATTCGATTTGTGCTCAGTCTGGACAGCAGAAACTCCGAAACACTCCTTTTTACTCAGGTCTGTGAGCCTCTGGAGAGCTTCCCTGTTCAGTTCTTTAAGCACGTGCACAGCAAATGTCTTCTTTTTGCCCAGGCTTCCAGAGCCAGTGAAGCCAGCTAGCATCCTGTGTCTTGGGTAAGGGGTGATTTGCAAGAAAAATGCCTGGTAGAAAAAAACACTGCTTTCACTTTGAAGCTGGCTGGCTCTGCCTTGTCTGCTCAGTGGTTTTCTGATGGGCAAAGAGCATAACTTTGTTGTTCTGCACCTTTTTTAGACCAAATGTATCTAGCTAACATACTATTTTGTTTTTATAAGGATCTTATTCATAGAGGATTTTCAGAATATGTGGGGACTTTTCAGTGCTTTACTGTGTCACTTAATGAAATTTTAGTCCATTATAGAAGTTTAAAATGCAATCAATTGAACAACAGCAGCAATAACTAGAAAGCTATGGTTGGGATTAAATTCTATTAGAAATATCCATGTTGCTCAGAAATTTACTTCTTTATATTAAAATTACCTGGCTAGCTAATATGTTACTGTTTCCACACAGCCTTACCCTAGAAAAAAAATAAAAATTATTGTTCATTATGTTGTTGTTGTTGTTGTTGATCGCCTTCAAGTCAAGCATAACTCATAGATACCCTATGGACAAAAGACCTGAAGCCCCTCTGCAACTGTCGACATCAAAGTTCATAGAGTTTCTGGAGGCATGTTGTTTAGGATGTGGATGCCACTCCTGCTTCCAAATTGTTTATTATACTCTACCTCAAATACAGTTATTTCCTTTCATAAAGTGAATGATAGCATTCTATGATGGACTAGACTTCACTGTTTTGTTGAGGCCTATCATTAACCCAGTAGCTCAGCTAAGACCAGACACCCTCTTTCATGTCCATTTATTCTAGTGCTGCCAGTTCTTTCCTCAGTGTAAATATGTTTAAACTCTCTACCTTGTTTAAGATTAGAATAGTCTACATTTTGTTTTCTGCTTATATCTGTGTTACTCCTTGATACCATTTGCCCACAAAGACCTCAGCCTGGTGCTCTAAAGCAAAACTGAGGGCAAAACTGTGTTTAAAAAGTAGTTGTTGTTGTTGTTGTTACTGTTGTTGTGTACTGTGAGTTGGAACTGACCCTAGCTGACCCTCCAAGTGGTTTTTCAGAGGCAGTAAATCACAAGGGAGGCGATTGCCCATCTTTCTCCGTGGAGCAGCTGATAGATTTCAGATCTCATAGCTTTGCAGTTGACAGCACAATTCCTTACCACTAAACCACCAGAGCTTACTATAAAAGAGTAGGGATACCTCAGAGTTTCAGGAGGCCTCTGTGAGGAAAGCTCCTTCATGGTCTTTCCCCTCAAGCACTGTCAACTACCTGTCTTCCCTTACCAGTGCCTTTCTACACCTATTTGTTCATACCATGAGGGGCCAGTGACACCTGCTCTTTCTCTCAGATATGGGAGGCTCAGAGGTCTCTAAGAGCCAGACAAATAGGCTTTCACAATGCCCTGTACTCAGTGACACATTCCTGCCCATATCAAGATAAATACCTTAGTCCTGGTTTCAGCGTAGACCTGAGTCAGGATCACACCTTCTTATTTGTTGCCAAGCTTGTTTCCTGAGTTAGAACTCGGAGCAAAAATATTATTTAGTTAGTCTTTATTGTGTCTTTGAGCCTGACCACTCCGGCATGTCTTAACATGTACAGGTTTTCTCCTGTCCTGATGCATAAGCACATGAAATTTCACCATTTAAGAGAGCAAACAAGCTAATGTTTATTATTAGGAAGTGCCTACTTTATCCTTGTATCTGACTGCTTTCTGGCTGCCATCAAATTCGCTCCAACTCATAGTGACCCTTCATTGGGTTTTTGAGGCTGTTGAATCTTAGTGAGAGGAGACTGCTCATCTTTTCCTGTGGAGCCACTGATAGAGTCAAATTACCAGAGACGTGACCTTTTGGTTAGCAGCACTAAACACTGCAGAATAACCACCAGATGTTCCTGCCATACTGATGTGTTGTGCTGGTCCTAATCACTACAAAAGAATCTCATGATATCCCAGGGAGTTCTATTTCTGCAGATAGAATTCCTGTAAATTTGGCTGTCACCCTGCCAGGCCTATTTCTCCACGGCCTACATTGTCACTTAGAAAAGTGAGCTCTTACTTTCATGTTGTTCAGGGTGATACTCCATTTCCCTGGAGACTTTTAACGTTTAGGTTAATGGTGTAAGAGACTGAAAAGTAGAAAAAAGCCTCCTTTGGAGAGTTTTCATTCAGACAAGAAAAGGATAAAACTCAACCTTTATTATGAAGGAAACATTATGAACTTAATTTTTGTCTGTAACAATATTGGGGTAGAAATAATAATATCCCCATTTTATAAGTGAGAAAACTAGGCCGTAATTTGTTCAAGGTATCTTATCTAATTCCAAAACGTTTTGGGTTTTTTTTTTTCTTCTGCACTGTTCTGTTATAGAGGCTGTGTGACCATTACCCGTTATCCTCAAATGGCTGTGTAGAGAGCTCAGAGCCTAGAAAAGAAATCGACACACACACCCACCTCTCCTCACCTGGATTGCCCCATCACTGAGCTCTCTAAGCCGTCTGGGATACTCAAGGGTTCATGACTGCTGGGCTCCATGTACTTTTCATGCTTTTGTGTTTGTACTTGAGATTGCCATACATTACATATGAAGGGAATAACTTACAAAGTCTTCAGTGTTATGATTACGCATAAATGTCTCCATCCTGGGGAAATGATCAGCTCTCTGAGCTGAAATCGTTGGCCACAGAGCTGTGAGTCAGATTCAGCCAGTGCTGTCTGATGTGTGCTCAGCACTCTCCAGCCATGCTTGCTTTTAGAGCTTCCTGGCTTGACTTTGAAATAAAAATTGGAAAGTCAAGGGCTTGATAATAGAGATAAAAGTTCTGAATCCATTTTATGAACAAAATAGGTATGACTATTAAGCCATGTTGAGCAAATTTTTCTTTATACTCCCACTTTCATACTGGCAAACATCTTGGCAAGATGAAAATTTTAAGTGTTAGGGCCCCAAGAAGTTCTGTTGTTCAGTGAGCCAATAATGCAGCAAGTTCAAGCAGCCCCCGGGAAGCCTTCACAGCCTCTTACCATGCCTGAGCACCAAAATAGGCAGAGACCGGACTCTGCACTGACCACAGCTTTGTTCACTCCCTCAGGCTGCACTCCTCAATTCCTTCCCCACCATCTTTGATGAGCTGCTGCAAATGTTCACGGTACAAGAGGTGGCCGAGTTCGTGAGGGGAACGCTGGGGAGCATGCCCAGCACTGTGCACATTGGGCAGTCCATGGACGTGGTGAAGCTGCAGTCCATCGCCAGGACTGTGGATAGCCGCCTCTTCTCTTTCTCAGGTTAGTCAAACTTGCCTTTCTTCATTTCTAGAGGACAAGGAAATAGCAATCAAAGGCTCGATTTTATCAACTATAATACGAGAAACTAGTGGCTATAAAATGTAAAGCTTTGGTAAACTGTTTTAGGGAATGTAACCGTGCCCCAGGCTGACTACTCATTCACAATTGATTCCTAAATACCTGCACTCTAGGACATATCCATCAGGTGGCCTGAAGAGCAACCTTTTCAAACCTCAGTTTCAGCCAGTTTTCAAGAAGGGGGCCTTTAATAGTCCTGTCTCTGGAAAACCACTGGAAGATTAGCTCTGAATCAGTTTTAACTCAATGACACATAACAACAATATCAGGGTAAGAAGGTAAAGAGAAAAGAGTGGGAAGCAGGAGAGAGTATCCTTCCCAAGGATGAGCCAAGAAATACACTAACAAAACCACAGCCACCAAGTCAGATCCTAACTGTAGTGACCTCATGGGGTGCAGTAACTTCCCTGTGGGGTTTCCAAGGCTGGAACTTTAACGAAAGCAGACTGCCACCTCTTCCTCACACAGGATGGCTAGTGAGCTAGAAACACTGACCTTTTGGTCAACAACCAAGCCTTTAACTATTGTGCCACTAGGGCCCCTGAAGACAACAAAGGGGCCCCTGAAAGGGGGCCTGAGACCCCATTGTACTTTTCTGGTTCCTTCTCTTACCAGTCAAACAGATTCTTCTTTCTTCCTTAAGAGAATCTTCTGAGAGGTAGAAAGACAGACAGACAGACAAAGAACCCTCCCCTTCCTCCAAGACCTCAGAACACCCTCACAAGTACCAGTGATACACCCCGCTGCCTTTCAGAGAGAACTTCAGATTCATTCCTGAAACCAGGTTGTATGTGGTCAAGTTTTTGGTTTTGCTTTTTCATTTAATTAAATGAAAGTTTACAAAGCATACTGGTTTTTCAGTCAACAAATCATAGATAGTTTGTTTTATTACCTTAATTACAGTTGATTCATGTAATTAATCACACTGTCTAAGCAAATCTTTATTTTCTATCGCTTTCCCCTTCACTCAGCTTATCTGTTTATTTCTTTTTACTCTCCTCTCCTTCCCTTCCTATCCTGTTACCCTTCCCAGAATAGTTCTGTCTATGTGTAAACTTTTCCTTAGCTTTTTATAGTAGTGGTCTCATAATTATCTTTTGGGGACATAATTGATGTCACTTATCATTGTTTATTCTGTAGCCATCTATGTTATTCAGTATTTCATAAATTCTTGATTCCTTTTTTAAAAGTGTTCAAGTTCATTCTTGAGCAGAGACACTGAATACTCAGTGGCCAAGTATTAACATCAGTATGAGCCTCATGCTTCAATAGAATATTATTATCATAGAATGAACTTCTAGAACACAAGAGTTAATCTGAAAGACTAGCAAAACAATTAGTGCTAAAAATTGTACAATTAAAGCTTTGGACAGTTAATTTTTTTTATGTTTGACTTTTAAAACACAGGAACAGTTAATTTCTCAGCCCACTGCTGCGCACACTTGAATACTAACCCAGTACCCACTCCCTTTTCTCTTTAACCCTTCCAGTGTAAGGTGCTGCTGATTGCAAAGCAGCCACCAAAAAAGTTAGCTTTTGTCCACCAGTAATTGTCTGGCAAAAATGGCTCTTTTCTCCAGCTCCTGAAGATTTGTATCAGTGGCTTGGAGACACTGTGACCAAGACAGTCACATACATGGATACTCTGTGTACTGCTTAAAACAGATTCTTCTTTAATATTTTTGGGAGAAGGCTGCAGACTGCTATCCTTCATTTCTACTAGTTTTGCATAAATTTACTGCCTCATATCAAAAACTTAAAAAAAAAAATAACTCTTAAACTGTATGTAGCCGTGGCATTGTGTACTTGGCATTTTGAGAAGATAAAACCACCACCAAATTTTCATTCTTATCTTTCTTTTTTTGAACACTCTTTGCTTACACTATCTTGCCTGGAGTATCATAGCAGAAGGATCTTTACCACTGACCTCATTTAACCAATATTTATATTCTCAAGCGTATCAGACCAGTCTCCTTTTACAGCAGTTTATAGTGACAAATGACTGTTTTGTCTGCAGGCAGCTATTGGTTGTCATAAATCCTACTGTGTTGGAATTTTGGAGCACAAAATGCAGAATGAAATTATCTTTTACCCAGGCTCCTTCTATGCACCCAATAATTGCTACTTCCATATTATATTCTGAGTATGTGGCAAGGTAATTGCAGAATCTCCTGTACATCATAAAATTTGTCTTTTCATTCTGAATTTTATCTGGGATGCTTAACAGTGGTCAGACATGAACAATAAATCAAAAATGCCATAGCTCATTTGTGTCACTGTCAATCTTACTGGCTCATGTGAGCACAGTATGATAGGTACTTGCCGGGTTACACAGTTATTAGACCACAGTGGAATGCAGGACATCAGAAACATGTCCACACCTGTCACTTTGTCTTCTGACATCACAAGAAGTAAGTGCAGAAGAAGCCATTAGCATACTGTTTTTATAGATGGACAAAAGTCTTCATCCCATGGGGAGTAGGAATATGAGTAAGTTAATAAAGGAATCTGAACTAAGATGTAGCCTTTCTGAATTGAAGATTCTTCATTTAATCATCTCCTGATGAAAATTATTGCCCATTAATTAAGAGAAGGAAAACATTTCCATATATGCTGTAGAGTTGACAATGTAGGTGCCCTGATGATCAAAGTCTTAAGACAAAGATTATGCTTCAGTTTCATTCACATCTGTAGACACACAAGTCAATATTCTAACAAGCCGAGGAGAAGTGGCACCAAGCCTGGTGTCTGCAGAGAGTAAATGTTCCATATGATGAGGATGTTGGGTTGCTTAGCCGGGATCTGGAGAAGGACAGTTCATAATCCACATCAAGTCTGCTAATTCGGCCAGCGTAGTTGATACCAGTTGTTCCATTCAAGTGGAATTTTATTGTAAGCTGTGCTTTTGATGAGAAATCTAGTTATACAGAGGTCTCATTTGGAAAGAGCCTTCTGACATTCACCCTTCAAAAAACTGCCGTGAGTATTGTTGTTGTTAGGTGGAGTCGAATAGAGTAAACTCATAGCGACCGTAAGAGCAAAAGATCTGAACCCAGCATTGTCCTGTGCCATCCTCACACTTCCTGACACACAAGAGCCCATTGTAGCAGTCACCATGAGTACTAGTAAGACTTAAAATGAGAAAGAGGACAATGGTGGAAATGCTATGCTGTGCCTTGTTCTTTTCAGATAGTGAACTTTTAGGCCATTGTGAAGAGAACATATTCCACTTGGCCATCTCACTTTGAGACTAATTAAGTCCTCCCGTGCCACTGGCTTCCAGCAGTAGCTAGTTCTCTTCTGAAGAGCTGCTTCACTTTTGTCTTTTCTCTCCTAGAGTCCCGCCGCATCCTGCTTCCTGTGGTCCTCCATCACATTCACCTTCACCTGAGACAGCAGAAGGAGCTGCTGATCTGCTCAGGGATTCTTGGCAGCATCTTCTCCATCGTCAAGACCAGCTCTCTGGTAGTGGCCCCACACTCACTAGGCCTGGCTCAGTTCCACTTTAGTCTTGTGTTGCCAACCAGACGTTGACCAACAGACATCATATTGCAAACTTCGCAATCCTTCATCAGTGATAGGAAGGTGCCCCAGTTTATCAGGCTTCTCAGTATAGCACATCCTTGCTGTTCTAAGAATTGCACTACCACATACCCACCTAGGGACATAGTTCACTGGTAGTACCATAAAGCCCAATCCAAACTTCTACTCAGTTTCTGTCAAGAGGTTTTCGTTCTGGATTCCTGGGCATTTTCTGAGGATACTCAGTCACTGTCACAGGGGTCAGGCCCAAGCTGGGAGGCAGCTTGCTCATTCAGACTTTCCTGTCAGCATCTTGACAGCTTGATTCCACCCATATGGCGTTGCCACACTATGCCAGATGAAGTCAGGGTGTGCGGGAGATAAAAGTGTGCACAAGAGCTTTGCACCGAAACAGTCATAGAATTGTACCTTAGGAGTTTCACCTAGTAACACTTTTGAATACTTTCTTAGCTTTTTAATTTTTTTTTAAGAAACTTGTGGTGTGAGAGCAGTGAGGGGAACAAAGTATAATGAAAAGACTTGTCATGATGAAAAGACTTGTGTCTGGCAAGAATGAAGATAGAGGTTTCTTTTAATGATGTTTTAGAACAAATTCACATTTCTTACAGAAAATTTAAAAACTATTAATAAAGTATAAAGAAGGACATGAAGAACTCCCAGAAAGGAAATTTGGTGAAATGTCATTGTTTTATTTAGCTAAGATTCATGAAGAATAAACTTTTTAAATGAAGGCTGTTGACCAGATGATAAGGACATAAGAAGCTATGGAGTGGGAGAGATACTTAAAATTGAAAGATTAGACTTGGTTTGAACAGGGACCTAGCGGAGTGTTCAGACTTAATATCATCCAATGCTGAAGTCCTAGGCAGACAGTGACTGTGGGAATGATGGTGAGACCCCCATCGTTTGCTCTTGACTTCAGGCAATGCTTGGCAGTTCTCCTTCCCACCAGCCCCAGAGAGGTGGAATCTGGTGTGTAAGGTTCTTCTAATAGCCTAAGGCTAGACCAGAGGGAATGGAATTCTTAATGGTAAAGGAAGGAGAGAAAAATTGAAAAAAGGAAAAGAGGGAAGAAATGGGAATGAAGAAAGAACAGATTAAAAAAAAAACCTGAAGGATATAGAGTGGTTATATTTGTGCACTAGAGAGTTAGGGGAAAACTACTCTGAAGAAATCGTACAGAAAATGTATTATGGTAACTTAACACATAAGAAGCATGACTTAACCCCAAGTGTATATAGTCCAAGAGCTGCTCAAATCCTTTGTGTAAAATTATATGGAGTAGGAGCTCTGGTGTCCTAGTGCTAAGAATATGCACTGCAATCCCTAAAGCACAGGGTTCGGATCCACCGACTATGATTACTGTCTCTGAAAACCCACCAGAAGGTCAGCTATAGGTTGGTTCCGACTCGATGGTACACAACAACAACAACACAATGATACCAGAAAACACGGTTTAAGTTGGATGATACTTAAATCCACAAGAGCAGAGATAGTATCTGACTTGTTCACCTCTCTGTATACTCAGGTTCTCAGACAGTGACTGCTGCATGGCAGATGCTGAAGGAAGGAGACAGGGAAGACATTTGAATAGTAATAGTATAAAGAAGCTAGAGAAGGAATAAAGCAACAGGATTTGAGATTGAATATGAGAAGTGTATAAAAGAATAGTGTAGATTTTCTAAATTGATAACCTAGTGACTGGGAAACAGCCCCCAATGAGTCATTTTTCTGAGGTAGACAGAGAAAGATACATTAAAGACTTGAGTCCTGCAGTTAGCCCATGGAGTGGGAACCAGGGAACCAGAGAGCTAGAAATGAGACCTGACGTATCTGGGCAGCAGTCAGTTCTGGAGGAAATTGAGATCGGTCTAGGAGAAAACCCTGAGGAGAGAACAGTGTCCACAAAGACTGGGGCACTTCAGTGTGCATGAGCAGTTGTGAGGGTGCTACCCTCACATCCTGTGCTGTGGATACTTTACTATTTCTCAAGGCATTGATCAGACAGAGTCAGTCTTTTCTCCTGACTGTTCTAGGGAAATCAAAGCAAACACTTAACTCTTTGCTTCTGCGTGAAATTAGTTTCTTTTGCATGAGGTTCGGGGAGGTGGGGCACTGGCTTATGGGAGGACCCCAGCCACCATGCCAGGGAAGTAACAACAGGTGGGCCCCACCTCATCGCAGTGTGGCTGTGGGTTCCTTGACTGCATGCTGGTGAGACCACAAGCTCTGGGCTGGGACTCCAGCTGGAAGACCACTCCCAAGGTGTTTGACATAGTAAGTGCCGCCAGCTGCACATTGGCCCCGCCTGGTGCTAACGGTGCTCTCTTACTGCTTGCTCCAGGAGACAGATGTCATGGAGGAAGTGGAGATGATGGTGGAGAGCCTCCTAGACGTGCTCTTACAGACTCTGCTCACCATCATGAGCAAATCGCACGCTCAGGAGGCGGTAAGAGGGCAGCGATGCCCGCAGTGCACAGCAGAGATCACTGTTAGTAACTAACATTCAGGTTTTCTTGCCTTTTTTCTAACCTGGGGCTCTTCCACGCCACCCCTCCATCTCACCACCCACCACTGTTCACCCCAGCCTCCCCTCCTGCATGGCCATCCGCATGCTGCCCTCTTCCCTTCTCCAGTCTGACGCCCCTCTCCACTCTGAAAGCTTTAGATTCACACTCCTACTAACCTACTTTAGGGCAGATGTAGAAACTATTTTTTGCCTTGGTTTCCTAGACGCTATCTCAGTTGGCATTTGCCTTTGAGCCAAGTCATTTTCCACTATGTGAAATGAAGCAGGGATATGTTTCTCAGACACTATGTAGTAAGATACTGAAGGTGGAAAGTAGGCTACTCCTAGTAGGACCCTGTCATAAATACAGGCTGTCCTGAATGGTGTGTGGGCCAGAATAATACCCTCAGAATGTATGTCTTTCTTTAGTCTGTAGCATTTATATCTAAATTCCTAGCTTCAAGAACAGTGTGATGTGGTGGAATTATACCAGCATTAACTGAATAATGGAGTGTGGATCTAATCGGAAGAGGAGCAGGCTGGAAAAGCCTCCCAGGAGGGGCAGAGAGTGCCCCAGTGCCCCAAATCCTGTACTCAGAGTAGACACAGCCCTGACATTTGGAGCTTGACCGTCTGTGTGGAATCTGCCAGTTGGCTGGTAGGAACCACGGTGATCTTTTTGGAGAGACCCCTCTGTGGTAGCAAGTCAAGCTCCAGCACGCTGAGAGGAGCGGGGCAGCACGCAGCCAGGCCTGTGCTGTGGGTGCTGGCGCCTAGAGAAGGGGTCTACTCTCTTAAGGGCTCTGTTGAGAGCAGTCAGGCCAGAGGTGAAAACATACCTGCCCCCTGGCATGTCCTGGTAAACCCCCTCTCAGCACATGGTGTTTGTGATAGGCTCTACCTTGATTTAAGCAGTTAATAAATATACTTACTAATAATACTAATGAAACCGTTCATTTTCTGTAACTTACCATGAAGATGATAATTGCAGTTTATTAAGCATTTCTTCATGCATGTGACTGCATCATATACATTAACTCATCTGTTTCTCATAGTAAATTCATGAATTGTGGCTTTCTTTGTGTACAAAGCTAGAAATAGTGCAATAATCTCAAAGGTCTGGAAAGGATTTACAAGCATCCTGGTGGCATAGTGCATAATACGCTGGGCTGTTAATTGAAAGATCAGCAGTCTGAATTCGCCAGCTACTGCGCAGGAAAAAGATGGGCAGCCTGTTCCTGTCTCACAGCCTCAGAAACCCCATGCAGTGTCACCATGAGTTCAAATTGACTTGATGGCAGTGGATTTAGAAAAGATTTAAAGAGCTCAACTGCTAACTGAAAGATTGGTGGTTCAAACCCATTAGTGGCGCTGGGGAGGGGGGAAAGCCATGGCAGTTTGTTCCCATAAGTTTGCAGCCTTTGGAAACCCTATGGGGAAATTCTGCTCTGTCCTGTATGTAGAGTCACTGTTATCAAAATCAACTGGACAAGAGATTTCACTTGTTTCTTAAGAAAGACTGCAAGAATATGTAAACACAGTGTCTGTATTACAAAACACATAGGAATGAAACAGTGTATACAAATTTTGCATGCAAACCAATATAAAATACAAATACTTTTTTTTAAAGAAAGAATTTGAAGGACTGAAAACTTTCATCACATTCCTACAAGTTGAAAGCATTTTAAAATCATCCAAATGGGCGGGGGGGATCATCCAAATGAAGGAACTAACCTTATGTTTTAAAAAGGAAGGTTCCTTAGAGGAAGTTGATTGTTCCTGTTTCAAAAACTCCTATAAGATCATACAAGACTTTGGGGCCATTAAAACAGGATTTTCTTCTCTGTACCCTAGTTGGAACTAGAAGAAAAATTTTAGGTCACTTTTATTCTTAAATCTCTACTTGTCTTAAAGTCCACAACGGATCGTTTCATGAAGGGGCAGCCTGACTCGTCTGCCTTCCAGAGAATCATGTACATCTGTCCAGTCAGTAACCCCCAGCTGAGCTTTAGGAGCTTTCCCAGGGAGGCAGCTAGAGAAAGGCAGCCAGGGTCCAGCCTCCATCCAGAGAAGGCTAACTGCTCTGTTCCAAGTAGCCCCTGGAGACTTTAGCACAGTGCCCTGAAAGCAGAGTGACACAGGACTATTTAGCCAGAACTTTTTCTCAGAGAAAGTGAGAATATCTGTCTCACTTTACAGTAGCTCTTTGGTATTGGTTAGTGTTTATCATCAGCTCCATGTTGCACTAGTTTTATTAAAACTCTCAGTCCTCTAAGCTTTCAGAAAAGCCCTCCAAACTCAAACCTGCTGCCATCAAGTCAGAATTGACTCTGACCCGACATTTCAGCGGGTTTCAGAGGCTGTAAATCACAAAGGAGGAGATTATCCATCTTCCAAGGAGCTGCTGGTGAATTCAAACTGCCAGAGAGACTCCAATCTCAAGTTAGCAATGCAAACTCCCTATGTTAGCAGAAAAGAAAGCTCTTTTTCAGGGCCTTCATTGTTACCTCCCTTCCATGATCATGGGGCCATCTCAGACCCTCCCTTCTCTCCTTCCCCTCTGTGGATTGGGGTGGGAGGTAAACAGCCCTTGTGATTGACAGTGCTTAATGTTTTGGGGGTTGATCCCCAGGGTGAATATGTGTCCTGCCTGCTCTCGCTGCTCCGCCAGATGTGTGACACCCATTACCAACACCTCCTGGACAACTTTCAGAGCAAAGATGAGCTCAAGGTAGGCTGCAGGGTACTAATATTTCACCCAGGAAGGGAAGTGTGTGGCCAGAACTACCCAGGGGCTATTCCCCTGCCAGAGAGGCGAATGAAGGCAAGTACTAAGGGCATATAGTATTCACCAGCCCCCCTTTACAGTTGAATGTGGGACTGCAAAAGCTGCAGTGGAGTAGTGTTCCCACACAGTAACATTGACAAATTTTCCCCATCTGCTAGCAACCTTGTGACCATGCATCTCTATGAAAGGCTACTCTTGAGCCATGCTAGTTCTCAACAAAGCAGGATCATTTTTTTCCACTATGAACTTAATAGTCTCCCTGTGTTTTGCTCCTGCAAATATTATGTGCTGTTTACCAACACTGAAAATAAAGCTGGCTTCTATTCTTCATTTAAATGTATTTCTAGGATATACCTGTTGGAAGCAGGAGTGGCATCCACTTCCTAAACACCATGCCTCTGGAAACTCTATGAACTTTGATAAATTACAATAGTTATAGAAATGCTTCAGGCCTTTTGTTCACAGGGTCACTGTGAGTCGTGATCGACTCAACAGCAATCAACAACAACAATACGGAATATGCCCATAGTGATCAAAAGTGGGTACTGCGCACTGGTTCCAGATTCTGGATGCAGAGCCCAAATGGACAGATGCTGCAAAAAATGTCACTCATGTTTCATGCAGGTGCCAGTAGCACATTGCCTGGTCTATGCTTGTGGCAGCTGGCTTCTGGGTTTGTGTCTCTGCAGGAGACTGTGATGTTCATCTCATCAACTATAGGTGTGTGTTCTGCCTCTATTCAGATGAAACCACTTGCATTTCATATTGATACATTCCCCTGATGTTCATTTGTATGCTCTTTGTTCATCATATTGTGTGAAACAAAAATTATGGCATGTCTTCCTAGTCTTTGGTACTACCTGCCTTTTGATAGTCTCTGCAGAGTGTATTGTTAACTTACTAGATCGTTAACTTATTCTTCTTCCAACTTAGAGGAATGAACCTTGACATCCCTTGAAGTGAGTTCTTGGTTGACAATTCTTATTCTTTGAAAAATCTTTTCATTTGTTTAAGCCATAACCTCCATGGTATCTGATTAGAAGTACAGAATGAGTTGGGTTTCTCCTGTTGATTTTATTATTCTCTTTGGATTTCAAGTTTTACTTTAATGTGTCTGTGTGGATTTCTGAGTTTATACTACTTGGTGTTTATTGAGCTCTTTGATTTGCAGGTTAGTGTCCATTATTAAATTTGGAGAATTTTTTACCTCTGTCTCTTCAAACATTCTCCCCCTCCCCTTCTTTCTTTCTCTTCTCTTTCTGGCATTCACACAAGTATGTTGTACTCTGGGTGATGTTGCACAGTCCGTGAGCCTCTTCCACTTGTTTTCATGCTTTTTGTTTCTGTTACTCTGACAGAATAATCTCAGATTTTTCTATCTTCATATTTATTTATTCTTGTTCCAGTTTAGATCTACGGTTGAACCCTTCTAAGGAAGTTTTCATTCCTGGTTTTGTGCTTTTCACTTCCAGACTCTTTATTTGATACTTTTAAAATAATTTATGTCTCTTTAAAAATAGATAATTCTACATTTGTCAAAACAGTATTTTTGTTTTGTTTTAAACATGATTTCTTTTGGTAGGGCAGAGGCGAGATGTATGGGATTCTCAGGTCATCCCTGGGAAAGCCACCAGCCTTGATATGTGTAATGATCTTCTAGCACACAGGAGTATATCAAAGCTTTTCAAAACCTCTGAGAACATCTTTCTGTTTCCCAGTCTCATGTTTGCCTCAGTTATACAATTGCATCATGCACTGGGATGTTAAGCAGTTATGGCTGATTTTATTTTTTCAACAAACATTCTAGGAATAAAAAGCACTTTCCTCAATAAAGACAAGTCTATGAATGGAGCTTTCCTAGCACACTTCCAAACTGGTTAAATAGTGTAGCTCTCTGAGTGAAGAGCTTTTTCAAGAGCCACGAAGCCATTCTATCTTCTCTAATGACTGCTTGGCAACTGGTTTTCACAGCTACCACAGGATTTCAGTTGCTGGTTTTCAAGGCTTTTGTGGAGGGAGGGCAAGAAAATGTGGGAATAGTGCCTGTTAAATTACAAGAAATACATGCTGTTCTTACTGAAATCCAACCATTTTTCATGAATAAATGGTCCTCATATTATTACAAACATTTGGTTAGCTTCCAGCGCATTTTTTTTTATTTTTTTTTTCACCAGTGCCCTCAAGGCTTTCATGGAAGAAAGTAGAGATCCTTAATTCATCATTATGAAAGTGCTTCTCTGATTAATAGAATCTTACAATCTATAAGACATTCTTTTAATCAAACACTCAGAGGTCACACCCCTGGAGGTCGAGACTCCGTGACTTTTAGATACCAGTTACATTGATCTTTCCTGTGCTCTGTACACTAGGCTGGGTGAATAGAATGATGCTTCTGTTCCACCAGTTTGAGGCTAATTTTTTTGGTCTGTGAGAGTACCCAGGAGTTGCTCTCATGTAGCCCGCTGCGGGGAGGGGGAGAGAAACTAAACAGGGAATCTGAATCTACCAGTCGTGAGCACTGTAAATGGAGACCAGGAGAAAGTACACGTTTATAAGGTTGATGATGTCTTATGTCATCACCTTTTTGTCTTGTGTCAGGAGTTCCTGCTAAAGATTTTCTGTGTCTTCCGGAATCTGATGAAGATGAGTGTCTTCCCTCGGGACTGGATGGTGATGAGACTGCTCACAAGCAAGTGAGTGTGGGAGAGCCCTCCACCTACATGCACTGTGTGTGTGTGTGTGTGTGTGTGTGTCAGAGAGAGAGAGAGAGAAAACACCACTCAGAAATGAGGGCTAAGGCCGTGGTTTCAGAGAAGAGAAGCAGATGTGAAAATGTCTGGAGAGACAATCCACAGAACTTGGTCATTAGCCAAGGAAAAGAAAGTGTTAAATCTGATTCCGAAATGGAGCCTAAGCTCCTGACGGAAATGAAGACATAGAGGTGTAAAATGTAATATCCAAAGAAGGAGCCCAACTCAGTGGCTGGTTGACCTCCGCTGCCCTGTGGCTTTGGTCAGTGTCCTGAGCCCTCTCTTGATTTGATACGGGTTGTCACCAGTCAGTGCTCACCTCCCACTGTTAGTGCTAATTACCTGCCCAGGACTAAGCTGTGGAGCACTGACCACTTCTGACTGGCCACAGGATTTCCTGTAAGGACTAACTTCCACCTGCCCGCTTCATTCATATGCCCCGTCTGCGCTTTCCTCTTGGCAAACTAAAGCAGCAATGCAGATGGTAGGGGACCGATTCATCTGATCTCCCTCCCCTCAGGAGGGGGTACCTTGACCTCTACCCTCCCATCAGTTGCTTCCTCCGATTGATCTGCCTTTTGAGTTCATGTCATGCAGAAGTAGTGCAGTTATTTTCAGTAGACACAGTACCAAGATGGTCTTGTCACTTTGTACATTTTATAGGATTCTCTATTTAAAAAACAAAAAGCTAAAGACATACAGAAGAATGATTGTATATAAATTTGCACAGATATGTCATCAAATCATTTATTCTCCATTTGAACCCCTCTTGTTTTTATCTCTTAACTCCACACAGTACATTGCATCCTTTTTCGAAAGTTTTACTCTTTCTGCTAGAGAACTCATAGTTCCATTGTACTGATGCCTCTCCTCCTCCTGTACCAAAGCCCCAGTGTCCACTATTAGACATAACTCCTTTACCAGGTCGCCATGGTCATCTCCAGTCCAACTCTTGCTTGCCTGTTGCACTACACTGCTTCTCCACCCTGGCCATTTCCTGGTTCTAGCAGAGCACCCTTCTATTGCCTCTTATATGTGTCAGGATAATATTCTAGACCAAAAACTGAAACCAGATGACTCATAGATGAAGATAATGGCATACCACAAAACCAGCAATTTAATAACTATAAACCCCTATTATAAAATAACAAAATTGTAAGTGCTACAAGTGCTACATTTAATCATAATATGTGTCAATTACACAAAGGTTCCAAAAGTACTTAAATCACTCTTCAAACTGGAAGACCCTTTAGAGAATGATCAACAGTCACTCCCTTACTGAGTTTCTGTTAAATGTGAAAAGAATTGAACACACATAGTGTTGATGATTTCTCAACGTAATGAACATAATTAATGTCCATTAATTGTACATAGAAAATGGTTGGAACATGTGGATACGCAGTGCTGTATCCAGTGCCAACTTTGGGACATTTCTCTGAGACTGGTTTTCAGTGAGTTTGTGCCATCAATCTCTCTCCTCTATGGCCACATCTTATGTGGACGCGAACTGTATGTGGAGAGTTTGCATGCAAGCCAGAGACAACTGACAGCTAAGCTATTGGATGCTGTTATGAGTCTTCTAACTCTGCCAATGCCTTGTTTCCTTACTGCAGTATTATTGTTACTACTGTCCAGTACCTGTCCTCAGCTCTGCACAAGAATTTCACAGAGACAGACTTCGACTTTAAGGTAGTAATTCCATTAATTGTTTCTTTTGTAATAATCCTAGACACCAGGATTCTAGCTCACTAGTGTTTGTTCTCTTAATATATTCATAGTCAGAAACCATTTCCAAGCCTGCTAGTAATTAGACTGTGTCCTGAAAGCTCCTCTTTCAGAGGAGCTGGGAGCCAGAGAGCCGTAAGTATGCATTCTAGCTCAGAGGCAACTGCCTTCAAAGGAATCCCCAAATAAAGGTCCTGTTGGAAGAGATCTTTTTTAAAAAGATTGTAAAATAGGGTATATACTACACGTATATATTTAGGAACTTTCTCTGCAAGGTTAAGGATTTAGGTTGTCACGTGTTTCCTCCTCCTCTGTCTTTCTAGGTGTGGAATTCTTATTTTAGCCTGGCAGTTCTGTTCATAAACCAGCCAAGCCTCCAGCTAGAAATTGTCACTGCAGCCAAGAGGAAGAAGATTCTAGATAAGTAAGACAGATGTCTCCTGTACACCTCTCTGCCTCATGCCCAGATGGGGTTATGTTTCCATGGGAGGCTGTATCAGAAATCTACAAGGTTCTCGCCTAGTTCCCAGGGAGCCAAGTGTGAAAGTTCATTGAAGAGTGAAATGACTTAGCCCTTGGGGAGCCTTAGAAACAAGACGGAAGTACTAACCTCACTGGGTTTTCAGTCCCATCTTCCTGAACCTTCACCCATTAACATCTAACTTCTGTGTGAACTTTTCCTAGGTATGGGGACATGCGAGTGATGATGGCTTATGAACTGTTCAGCATGTGGCAGAATTTGGGTAGGCCTTTTCTCCCTGTCCTCATCTTCCACCTATTCCAGAGTCAAATGAAGAGTGACAAGACTGATAAATTTTCTTCCTTTTCATGAATACCAATTCAGACCCAAGAAATTTTTACATATCTTTAACATACCATCTTGGGTTGATAGCGTAGCAGATGTACATAGAGTCCTTGGTAGGGGGAATTTGGCTGAAGAATAAGGCAGTAGCAATACATCTGCATAATCTCTTCTCCAAGAATGAAAGTCCAGAGAAAAATAAAAAGAGAAGACAACCTCTAGCAGTTTTGTTTGGATTTGTTTTTCACATTTGAAAACTCATGCTTTTGAGATCTGTGCAGTTCATGTCCGAGGTTGAACATTGCAGGCTCAAAGAAATACATCCTGGAGATAGATGAGAAAAGACAGATTTCCATTTTAATAAAGTTTGAGACATTTGCTTGGGTTTCTGGTATTCACGCAATTGGGTCAGGTGCCTGACACCCGTTATATCAAGGAATATGTGCTCAAGGAATTGCAGCCTTGAGATGAGGTTAATTTGGGGGTCCACGGGTTCTCTTCACAGCTTCTCTAATGAAACTGCTTTGAGGTATGAAATTGTCAGAGCAGTGCTTTGGACCAAATCCCGAGGTTGTCATCAATACTGAATAGGCCATCCTGTAGGGTTCTAAGTGGCCTGTGGGGATGTTACTATTCAAAATGAGGTCAACTTTCAGCTGAGCACGTAGCCTTAGGAGCAATGATGGCAGAAAATGTACAGTCTTCCAGCTGCCAGCCCTAGGAGCAGCATGCAAGTCACAAGACCCTCTTATTGTCACTAGAGCTCTTCATCCTTGGGAAAGAATGCATTTCCCCAGTACCCTTCATCATTACACCCAGCCAGGCTTTGGTATGAATTCTAATTCCGAAATTATCTCTGAAATCACCAGGAAAGCAAAGGACTAGCAACTGTTGTAGTTACTGTGTCTCATCAAGTTGGAACGAACCTATAGTTGACCCTCCAGCAGGCGTTAAGAGGCAGTGAATCACACTGGAGGAGATAGCCCATCTTTTTTCACATAGCAGTTGGTGAACATGAAGCACTTGCCTTTGGGTTGACCATGCAACTCCTTATCATTAAGCCAGGGCTCCTTGATAACAGCTACAAAGATTAAAATATGCGGAATCAGTATCAGGGCTAGTAAATATTTTTACTCCTTGAATAAGCTTTCAAAATGGGAGAATTTAACAAAGAATGAATGAAACTCCAACTTTTCTGTAAACTGTCATTAAAATTACAATAAAATAGATATTTTTAAAAACAAAACACAACAAAATGGAAGAATTGGAAAAGATGCCAAATTTCCCTGAGAAAGCCATTTCTTCACCATTACTTTTGATGTAAATGGCATTCTTCGGTCCCTAGCACCAGGGGAGGAGAACTTGCTTTGCTTTCAGAACTGCTGATAAGATCCTAACGTGATCTTCTGTTGCACTTCTTGGGAAGAAGATAAGCAGGCATGAACTAATTATCTGCTGCATTTTGTTGCTTAGGTGAACATAAGATCCACTTTATCCCGGGAATGATTGGTCCGTTTTTGGGTGTGACACTGGTGCCACAGCCAGAAGTGCGGAACATCATGATCCCCATCTTCCACGACATGATGGACTGGGAGCAGAGGAAAAATGGCAACTTCAAGCAGGTGAGATGACACCCAGCAGAGTTCAAGGTTCCATTTCCTTGCCAAACTCCCATGATCTTGGATAAAATAGTTTCAAAGTAGCTGACTAAAACAGTGAGGAGTGTACCAAACAATCATTTAAATTTTTTTCTTTATTTTTAAATTTACCTAGAGTAAATGCCATTCTTTTTATTTACAACTTTGTATATTTTTTAAATATTTTAGCCATGTAACCATTGCCCCCCAAATTTTTTTATTCCTAAATTTTCTATCTTGTCATCAACCCCTTTCATTTTAATTTACAACAATCTCTGTACTTCAATACTGTTTTCTTTCCCAGAATAGTGTATAAATAACTTCTTTCTTAGTATAATGTCTTTGAGAGATTAATATGTGCTTTTGCATATTTCAATAATTTATTATTTCTCTTGCTGAGTAGTTTTCCATTATGTGAATATACCACAAATTATACAGTCACCAGCTGAAAGATGGATGGATAGATTAGTCCACTTTTTGATGATTATGAGCATAGCTACTGTAAGGATTTGTGTAAAGGTTTTGTATGAACATAAACTTTTCTTTTTCTTGGATAAATAATTAGGAATACAATGGCTTGCACTCCTGGTAAATGTATGCTTAACTTTAAAGAAACTTTCACACTTTTCCGAAGTGACTTACCATTTTGAATTCCAGTCAAGCAGTACATGAGAATGCAAGTTGCTTTACATCCTCACCAGCACTTAATTTTTTTTTTATTTTAGCCACTCTAATAGGTGTATAGTGTCAGTCTCATTGGTTTCCTTAGTCATTTCCTTCAAGATTAAGGATTAATGGTGTTGAGCATCTTTCCATGTGCTTCTTTATTACCCTCCTGTCATCGTTGGTAAAAGTGATTCTTTAAATCATCTGTCCATTTGCAGTTAGTTGGGTTGTTGGTTTTCCTGCTGTTGAGTTTAGAAAGCTCTTTCTGTATTTTCAGTGTAAATCATTTGCTGAATATGTTATGTGCAGTCTTTTCTCTCAGTTCATACATTTTCTTTTCATTCTCTAAACAGGGCCTTTCAAAAAATACATAAATAGTGTCTTTCACAGGACAAAAATTTTTAAGCCAAATTTATCAGTATTTTTACGTTATGGGTCGTGCTTTTGTGATCATATCTAAAGATGCCTCAGCTAACCTGTGGTCTCAGAAATCTTCTCCTGTGTTTTCTTTATCATTTTATCTTTAGGTCTGTAATGCATTTGAAATAGTATTAGAATAAGGTTAGAAGTATAGATCAGAACTTACTATCTTTCACTTGATTGTCTAGCTGTACTAACACCATCTGCCTGCGCCTTCTGACTACGCTGCTTCCTTGTATTGTCTTTGTACCGTTGCCAAAATTTAGTTGATCAGGTTTGTTTGAGACTTTTCCCATTGATGTGTCTATCTTTCACAGTACCACACTGTCTTGATTATGGTAGCCTTAAAATGAGGTAATGTAAATCTTTAACTCTGTTCTTTTCTGTTCTAATTATCTTTCCATTCGCTGTTCTAGTTATTCCTTTTCCTGTAAGTTTTATAATTTGCATGTCAGTGTCTATAAATATTCTCCCTGGGATTCTTACTGGACTTGAGTCTCTAGATTAAATTGGGGGGATAACATCTTAACAATATTGAATCTTCTAGTCTATGATGACAGTATGTCTCTCAATTTATTTGAATGTTCTTTGGTACCTTTCATCAGTATTTTATAGTTTTAGCATACAGATCTTACACATATGTTGTTAAATTTATATGTAATTCTTTTTGGAGATTTGTTGTTGTTGTAGTTGTGATGTGCTGTCGAGTCAACTCCGACTCATAGTGACCCTCTGTAAAACAGCTCTGAACCCTGCTCTATCCTGGGCCAATTTCATTATCTCTGACACACCTACGCTAGTCACTAGGTCAGTCCATCTCATCCTGGTCTTCCTTTCTTGCGCTGACCCTCCACCTTGCCAAGAATTACAAGGTCCCTCCTTGCAGCATGCCCAAATTATGACAGATGGAGCTTCAGAATCCTTACTTCCAAGGAGCAGCCTGGTTTCACCCTCTCCGTGACAGACCTATTTGTTTCCTTAACAGGCCATGGTATATTCAGTACTCTTCTCCAGCACCACAACTCAAAGACATCAATTCTTCTTCTGTCATCCTTAGTTATTGGCCAGCTCTCTGATACATAGCAACTTGGGGATTTAGTAATATTATAAATTATTTTTATTTTTATTTTTAAATTTTGTTTTCAGATTGTTCATTGCCAGTCTATAGAAACATAGTTGATTTTTTTTATATATTACCCTATGTTGAACCCTTGTTAAACTCAATTTTTGGTTCTAAGAGTTTTTTGGTCGCTTTTCTTGGGATTCTATTTAAGTAATCATGCCTTCTGCAAATGTTGTTGTTGTTGTTATGTGCCATCATAGCAACCCTATGTACAAGAGCCCTAAACACTGCTCTATCCTGTGCCAACCTCACCGTCTCAAACACACTCATTCCCACCACCCCAATCACAGAATTGTTCCATCTCATCAAAGGTCTTCCTCTCCTGTGCTGTTCCTCCACTCTCCCAAACATGATGTCCTTCTCCAAGGACCAGTCCCTCTTTGCAACATGCCCAAAATATGTCAGACAAAGCTTCAGAATCCTTGACTCCAGGGAGCATTCTGGCTTCACCTTCTCCGGGACAGACCTGTTTGTTCTCCTAGCAGTCCATGGTATATTCCACACTCTTCTCCAGCACCATAGCTCAAAGGCATCAGTTCTCTTTCTGTCAACCCTAATCACTGTCCAGCTCTTCGATGCGTAGCGTGTAATTGCAAAGACTATAGCCCAGATCAGGCGCACTTTAGTCTCCAGTCTGACACCGTTGCACTTCAGTACTCTTGAGAGGTCCCTCACAGCTGACTTTCCCAGTGCAGTTCATCTCCTGATTTCCTGGCTGCTGTTACCAAGAGTGTTGACTGTGGAGCCAAGTAAACTAAAACTGTTAACTATCTTAATCTCTTCACCATCCATACTGATGCTACCAATTTGCCCATTGGTGAGAATCTTTGTTTTCTTGATGTTGAGCTTCAATCCATATTGAAAATTCTGCAAATAGAAACTTTCATTTATTCTGTTTTAGTCTGTATCCTTTTTTTTCTTGTCGTATTGCATTGGGTAGCATTGGGTAAGGCTTTCATCATGATGTAAGTAATGATGAGAATAAATGTTTTTACCTTATTCATAATCTTAGGAGAAAAGCATTTCAGTCTTTAGAGATACTCTTTATTACAGATAAATATCATTTTAAAATAACATTTCTAGGAGTATATATTTCTAATGCCTTATAACTTCAAACAGAAAAGAGCTATTGCTTTTCCCTGTTGTCGTAATCTGGACCTTGTAACTCTTCAAAATACACCGCTACATAATGAGATAACCAGCAGTGAAAAAGTGGGTTACACTGCAGAACTGTACTGTGGGTCATCAGAGTTTACTGAAAAAGAGGCAGAACTACATCCCACCATCAGTAGCCGTGAAAAAGGTTTCCTTTTATCAAAGATTAAGCTGGAGATTGCTTTTCACACTCTTTAAGACTCTGCCAGTAAACTCTGTTCTTCTTCCCCTACTCCAGTAACCCACTATGTCAGGTCTATCTTGCTTGCTGAAACTAAAGAAGACTTGAAGCACTTAATGGTGATAATCAAAGACTACAGCCTTTAATATGGCTTACGCCTCAACATAAAAGGAAACTGAAAAAATACACCGGTAGGAAATACAATAAATAGGTGAAAGGTTGGCGTTATCGATGATTTGATTTTACTGAAGCCACAATCAATACCCATGGAGGCAGCAGTCCTGAAGTCAAGTATCATATTACCTCAGGCAATTCCACTGCAAAATATATCTTTTAAGTATTTTTAAAAGCACAGATGCAATTTTGAGGTTGCAAATAAATAAGGATAACAGAAGGAGAGTCAATGCCTTTGAATTGTGTTGTTGAAGAGACTATCCCATAGACCGCAACAGAACAGATAAGTCTGTCTTGAAAAAAAGCGCAACCAACGTGCTCCTTAGAGGCAAGGATGTTGAAATTTCACATCACATACCTCAGGCATTTTGCCAAGAGGAGCCACTTCTTGGGAAAGGACAACCTTCTGGGCCAAGTGGAGGGTCAGAGAATGAGAGGAAGACCCTCAGCTAACACAGTGACTGCAACAATGGGCTCACACATATCAGATATTGTGAGGATGGTACAGGATAGGGCAGGGTTCAGATCTGTGGTTCCTACAGTTGCTATGAGTCTTAGTCATCTTGATGACACCTAAAAATGATAATGACAAGGTACACCTGACCAAGCCATGTTATTGTTCAGTAGCCTCCTCTGCATACGAAAGCTGGGCAATGAATAAGGAATCCTAACTGAGAATCGATGCCTTTAAATTCTGTTGGCAGAGAATGTTGAATATACCATGGACCACCAAAAGAAAGAATAAATCAAAGAAGTGCAATCAGACTTCCCCTTAGAAGAGAAGGTAGTGAGGGTTTATTGTACATACTTTGCTACCAGGAGCAACTAGTCCCCGAGAAGAAAAAGTTGAAGGTTAGAGAAAAAGAGGAAAACCCTGACTGAAATGGATTGACACAGTGGGTTCAAAGAGAGCAGTGACCAGAGGGCCAGCACAGGATTGGACAGTGGGTTTTTTTCTTTATTCCCCGGATTGCAGTGAGGTGGAACCAACTCCACAGCACCTACAACCAACCATCTTCACATTCATCTTTATAAAATTTCTCCATTTCTTCTAATAATTTCTTATTTTTCCATTACTGTAGAAGGAATTAAATAGCCTCATCATCAGCTCATATGCTGAATCCAGAGGTTCTTACACTTAAGAAGGATTCAAGAACTTGTTAACACACAGATTGCTGCCCCAGCCCCAGTATCTGATTTAGTAGACAAGAGGACTGCGAATTTACACTTCTTTTTTTTTTTTTAATTGGTTGGATGATTGTAGCAGAGATCAGGCTTCCTCACAGGAGCAACTTTCTCAAGCCAAGTGGGCAAACCTGATCTACAGTCGGGCTCACATATCCCTGATTCCCAGTCATTCTCAGGCCTGTGTTTAGTGTGCATTTCCAACGTCCACTTGTTGTCCTAGAGCTGAGGGGATGGAAAATGGTCATTTCCTCCGTGCCTGGGCCTGGTTGCTCTGTCCCTTCTGGTGCTGCTGCTTAACTTGAGCCAGAATGTCTCTGATCTTCCGCTGAGCCATCTGGCTGGCATAGAAATGCCCAATGATCTTGACGATAACCTGGTCATTCTCATCAGGGGTCTGATCTCTTGGCACCACCACCTCAGCAGCTTTTAAATTCTGTAACTCATTTACCGTTTTACCACCTTTGCCAATGACCCGTCCGGCTGCAGATGCTGGAACCCGGATATGGGTCTCCAACTTCACTTCTTCCTTGGGACCAAAGAAGTTCTCCTCCTTAAGCTTGCCATAAATTCTTCCCTGAGCCTTGAATTGGGCCTCTGGGGGTCCAGTGATGATGACCATTCGAACTTTGGAGTCTGGAGTTTCAGGAGGTGCAATCTTGATGGAGGCACTGGCAAACCAGGAAAGCTGCTTGATGTGTTGCCCCTTCTTCCCAATGATGGCACCCACTGCCTGGGCAGGAATGAAAACCTGCACCATCTCCTGCTCTGGAGTCATAAAGGAGCTATAAGGAGAATTTACACTTCTAACAAAGTCATTAGTGAAGCTGATATTGCTGGCTCAGGGACCCACTTTGAGAATATTTCAAACTGCAGGGGACTCTGCATCCTTTTGTGCATGTTGCATCTCTCTGCTCCTCCAAGTTCCTTCCTCACCTTCGTTCTCTTCGGGGTGTCATGATTTGCATACACTCACCATTCCTTGATAAACTCAGGCCCTTTATTCCTTGGACTGCAGTGCAGCTTCTTCCCATGAAGCCACCAGAGCTCCGGGCCCTTCTTCCTTGGTAGGTCCTTCTTCCTTACAACCAGCTGGCTGACCAACCTAGCATGGTGGGACAAGTTCTAAACTGAGAGTATGGCCCTCTTGGTTTCTAGACATCTAGGCGCCGCTCTGGTGAGTTCTGGTGGCTTAGTGATAAGGAATTGTGCTGCCAGTGCAAAGGTATGTGATTCAACTCCACCAACTGCTCCACAGAAGAAAAATGGCCTGTCTCTTCCCATGCCAGTTACTGCCTGTGAAAACCCTCTGGAGAGTCAGCTGTGGGTTGGTTCCAACACCACACAACAATCACAAGGCCCAGCTCTATCTGACTTGACATAGCCCCACAGAAGTCTCTGCTGGCACTTCATGTATACACAGAGGCAATAGTACTGCTAAGGAGCACTGGTCTTGGGCTTCCTGTTGCCTCTGAAGTGTACACACCCAGCTAACTTACCATGCGGTAAAGGATTATGATGGTCCATACCTGACCACGTAGGAGACTCCTATTTATTCATCCATTCTCATTTTCTACTGATGGGACTACAGAGACTCATGGCTGCCAGTGAATTTCCTAATCCAATTATCTTTGTTTTCTTTCTTTGCCTTAGCCTTCGGCGTGGAGTGAGAAAAATGCTTCTGTTGTAGCTGCGTAAAGACAGTTGTGCCACTTTTTAGGTGAAACTATATACATGTCACATCACTTAAAACTGATTTCTCACCTCAGAATAAATCCAGTGATATCTGTTAGAAAAGTAACTGAGCCCAGCTGACCATCATTGCCCCTCACCAAGAAAGGGCAAGTGCAGTGTTACTCATCACACTTTAGGAATCCAATGACAAATGGAAAGGGGCCCAGGGATGGGACAGTAGCAGAAGCTGTGATCCCAAAACCTTTAGGTCCTGGAGATACAAGCAGGACTCTTGTATATCTGAAGGAAACACTCAGCATATCTCACTCCACCCAGATGAATGCCAGCCAGTGGGGTAAAAACCAGCATCTTCCTTTCTGATTGATTGGCAATTGGATGACTTTCTAATCAAATGCATATTGTCCCTGTAAAATTTTTGAAAGGTTATTTTCAGAGAGAATAACACTTGACAAAGTCTTCTTTTGCATCTGAACTACTTTCCTCTCCAGGGAATCCTTGCCTTTGGCCTTGTTGCTGGAGCACTGTCTTAACTGTCTTAACACACTTACAGCCTCTACCTCCTTTTTCTGATGGCTGGGTGTTTACTTGGTCTTCTAGTTAAGATGTTTCTTCTTTGAAATGTCTCTGGAATAAGGACAAAATGAAGAAACAGAGCAAGTGGTAGAAATCTCTGTCCCTCTGGAGCAGTTCCCTGCTGTCATCACCGTCACAGGGGCTGCATTTCCCATGCTCTCTCTAAAGATGACTCAGGTTTATGAAGTCTCTGCTTCTCTCTAGGTGGAGGCTGAGCTGATTGACAAACTGGACAGCATGGTTTCAGAAGGAAAAGGCGACGAGAGCTACAGGGAGCTCTTCGGTCTGCTGTAAGCTGCTCTAGACCCCAGGGCCCCATGCAGGGGCTGGGGGTGGGGGGAGAGGACCAGTGAGAGGCGGGGTGACTCATATACAAGGCAGACTTCAGAAGGTAGGTATAAGGAGAGACTGGAGTGGTTCCTGATAGTAGTATTGCTTACCTGTGTCAGCAAAAAAGTGATGCTTACATCAAGGTTTGGGGGATCTCCATAAACTGCTGAAGAGTTAGGAAAAGTTACTAACTCTCTGAGCTCCTGGATTTGCTAACAGGAAAAGGATCAGCTTGTCTCTTCACAGTATGTACTGCATCCACTTGGGCTAGATGAAACTCAATCCGTTTGGGACTCAATGGTGGCATTTCTGGGGGAGAAATATAAATCCTCTTCTAAAGGTGGACCTGTTACTTGCGTCTCTCTGTGAGATAGCACAGTCAACTCTCTGGGTCTGTTTCCCTGTCTTGTCAAATGGGGTTGGTCTACTGAATGGCATCAAGCCACACTTCCATACCCTGTTCTTAAGGGCCAAGTAACCCCACAGAACTTGTCATAGGACAAAGTTTAAAAGAGGAACTCAAGGCAACCACAGTCCTCCCAAGGAGATAGTGATGCTGGTGTGTTTGTGTAAGAAATGAAAGCAGACTGCATTTACAGCGCTGGGATCCCTTCCAATCTCACTATCATCCCTAGCTTTTGAGAGTTTTTATGTTTTAGTGTCATTTTGAAGACAAACTTATAATATATTTTCCAGTAATTATGCTTTACATTTGTTTAGAACTTTTCCGTGTACAGAGTATTTTAATATTTGTTACTGTATTTGATCCTCACAAACACCTGTGAGGAGGGAAAAGCAAAAATTATCCTCATTCCCATTTTAGAGGGGATAAAACTGAAGTCTAGAAAAGTGTCAGCCTGCCCTCAGTCAGTGAGTAGTAGCATACTGTTCTAGGAGGGTTCAAGGGAGTCTCTTTGCCCTTCTGTGCCCACTTGACTCCTTGATGAATGACACATGAAATGTGAATTTATTTGAAATTTAAATACTTAAAATAACTTATGAAAAGAATAAATCTGTCTGTTATTATTTCTCCTTTAGCTGAGGATGTTTCTAGCCATGGAATTAAGGCAGAGAAATCTCTTCCTTAGCCATTTTTAAAAGTACATTACTGCAATGAGGGAAAGGTACAAAAACAGCCTGCAGTTCCTCATTCCCTGACCAGATAGTGTTTCCTAAAATCTTGCTGGATCAGTCTGATCTGATAACCCCCTGATAACATGAGGCAGCGTCTTCCAGTTGGTGTTCTGAGGAAGATGTTTGTAGGTTTGCAGGACTAAAGAGGAATGAGTTATGGGCTAGTTTAGAAGAGACTCCAAGTCAAACAAGCCTTTTTGTTAACAGGCCTTTTCAAAGGCTTTGAAGTACAGAAGGGTGTGGAGAATCCCCAAAAGGCGATACAGAGAGTGGTGGCTGCTGTGCCTACTTGCTCACAGACACTGCTTCCTGTCCTCCACAACCTCACACCTCTGCAGAGCACACTTTGGGAATGAGGTGCCGTGGGTTTATCCACACAGCGCAGAGGCCAGAGTCAGTGATTGCCAGCTTCTCTCTTTAGACACATGGGTCACATGAGAAGCCATATTCCTGGGCTCTGGCACAGAGAGCACACTGCATTGAGACAGATGTCATTACAGTGGCAGCATTAACAGCAGCTAGGCTGTGGTGTGAGGCCTTGGGGCCTTGGTGCATCTGAACTTGTTACTCAAAGTGGCTTGCATAGCCTTAAGCAGCAGCTCAAGGAACAGTGTGTGAAAAGGACTCAGGAATAGGCTTGTGTGGAATGATACCTGGGCCAACATTCATCCCTGGAACAGACAAAGGATTCAAGTATCATCGTCAGTCAAAGAACTATAGAAAGGCTGAGGATCTCAGAAACTAGGCTCTTCAAAGAAGCCAGAGCCTGTCCTAGGATGCCAGAAACATAGGGCATTGGCACGGGCTGAGGGAGAGCATCCTCTGACAGTGATAGTGGCCAGCTCTGGCTCCTGGAATCCCGCTGCCCTTAGTTCTGGACCCCTCAGGCTGGTGTGCATACTTTCCTAGGTATTCAGAGAGCTTGGTTTGTATGTTTGCTGCAAATGTCTTTGAGTAATCAGCCAATTGCCAACTCATGCTCATCTCTGTGGGTTCTTATTCATCTTTCTTTACTGTGCATCCTCTTTGAGCTCAGTAGCATCCTTGAGAACTTGCACAGGGCAGTGGGAGGCAGGTTCATTTGCTGCTGTCAGTTCAGTAACCTCCTTGTCTTTGCTTTCTGCTGCATGGAGTAGAACCCAGCTGTTTGGGCCCTACCCCAGGTAAGACTGCAATGCGATGATTCTGCTGTCTCCGGATCCATCACAGCCCTATGCACCCTAGGACCTTCATTCCCTTGCCCAAAGAAGACTTATTTATTATTTTTTTTCCTTCCCTCACTCCTTCCCCAATAGCCTGCTGGAGAAGGTTGAACAAGAGACATGGCGTGAGACCGGCATTTCCTTTGTGACTTCAGTAACCCGCCTCATGGAGCGCCTCCTTGACTACAGGTATCTTCTCAGACATCTACCCAGCCTCTTCTCAGTGAAGGATAATGTCCCCAGAAAGGGCATCCTCTGGCCATAGAATGGAGACAACATGCCGTCAGGAAAGGGACTGTACCCTGAAGTGAGTTAGGGTGCCGGTCGGGAGTACCTTCTCCCAGAGCTGCACTGCTGGGATCCCGCACCTCAAGATGTAGACATGTCCGTCCCCAGGAAGCATCCCAGGGGTCTGTAGCCATCTAGATTTCCATCCAGAAAGGTCAGGGTTCAGAGGATCAGACACTACAAGGGAGGGAAGAAAATCTGTCTCTGGAGCAAGACACAGACTGTCCTCAGCCGTTTGGCAGGCTGACACTGGTGAAAAGTGGGGCCTCCAGGAGCACTTGGAGCTGGAGATCTCACTTTCCCATGCCTCCATTCTTGCCCTCCAGTCTTTGTTTCCCTGCACCTGCGTGTGAACACATTCGAGGAAGCAGCCAAGTGTGCACAGAGATCCTCAGGCTGCGGTCAGTCTGAGAGTTAGAGCGGAATTAGAGCTGGGTTGTTTTATGTTGTGGGGTTTGTGGGGTTTTTTTTTTCTGTAAACCTTCCTTCCCAGATGCATCCTGGCTTTTTAATTAGTCCAAAAGTGACCCTGAAACTACCACTGTAACCTTTACTGCTCTCTCAGCATGGTTCAAGTGGTGGCCAAGGGTACCCTTAGGAGCCTGGAATTAGGCCTTGAGAAATGAGGAGTAATAAATAAACATAGCCCCGAGCAGTAGAAGTCTTCTCTGTGCCGTAAGATGTGCAAATCTCAAGGGAAGAACTCCTCAGCCTATGGATCAGAAGACGAGGGTCTTTCATCGCCTCCAGCTGCTGCTAAAGTAGAAAGCCTTGCCATGCCGCCTCCAGAAGATCCTGACGTCCAGGGCACTGGCAGGATAAGGAAATGGAACGCCTGGGGAATGTCTCGAGCATCGCCTCTCTCTGGAGCACAGTGTTACTTATGCTAAACTTCAGCCCGTTTTTCCAAGTCCTGATGAAGTCAGCCGTAGCCTTGTTCTCTCCCCTTTTAGAGCAGAAATCCCCTTTGCTCACGTCGTGTCCTGGTCTTACCTGTACCTGCCGTCAGATAAAGGAGGAGACGGGGCCAGCACCACCTTCTCCCCCTCACTGTGCCTCCTCTGGTGTGACCACGGGGTTCTGAAGCTAATTCCTTCCAGTGGACATCCCAGTCTGGGGTTTGGTCATCCCCGCACTCAGTGTCACGGAAGCTCTGTATTGGCCCCGTGACACCCCTTCATGTCTGGTATACGCTGTGGTCTCCCTTCTAGGGACTGCATGAAAGGAGAGGAAACGGAGAATAAGAAGATCGGCTGCACTGTTAACCTAATGGTGAGGGGACATGGGCCCCTTGGGATGGTTTCTGTCCTGCACTGGTGGCTTGGTTTTCCACAGCTCGTGCCTAAAACTGAGTAAGAGTTTGAGCTGGGACCTAAGCTTTTTGGTGCCTTAGAGACTTGTACTTCATTAAACACGTTTCACTCAGGAAAGAATGACATGAACTCCTCCCTGAGCAGAGCTCTGGCCTGGGCTCTTGACAACACCCACCAGCCTTGACATCTTTTAGTTCCTGGTACCCCTTGACCCTCCCCCACTCACATGCCTGGTGCTCTTCCTCTCGCCTGCCACCCAGGCGCCCATGGATCTGCCAGTACTTCCAGCCCCAGCGTATATTTCTCCTCACTCGTCCCTTTCCCTTTTTGATGCCCTTCAGGGTATGACCTCTGACACCTGCCTGGCATACCCAGAGATTTGGCCAGTTGCCCAGGGCTCAAGTAGGTGGCTTTCCTAAGTGATAACCTGTATCATGCCTGAATTTCCTCCCCCCTCTCTCTCTCACAGAACTTTTACAAATCTGAGATTAACAAAGAAGAGATGTATATCCGCTATATCCATAAGCTTTGTGACATGCACTTGCAAGCCGAAAACTACACAGGTGAGTGTGTGACGGAGAGCCATCCTGAGGACAGACTGGGGACGTGCACAGCTGGCAGAGAAGGGCTCTCTGGCTAGTGCCTCCAATGTCCCAGCCAAACGCTGGGGTCCCTGCTGCCCATCACCTCTGTGCTTTTCCTCAGTGCCTTTACAACATGTGATGGAGGGAAATAAGTTAGAACTTTCATGTATGCCTTCTTGTTTTATCTTCTTCTTCCTGAGGCTGTACTACACTCCTTCCCTCCCAGCCGCCCTTCTGAGGCTCAGAGCGTTGTGAGCTGAGTCACATCTGACAAAGGTCTTTCTTAAGATCTCTAATTCTAGAGCTGAGTGAGACCATCATACGGGGTATCCCCTGTCCAGAGCTTCAGAACTGGCTGTGAGACCTGCCTTGCTCTCTAGGCCCTTGCCTGGTCCCAGCACAGCAAACCTAAGCCCCTTCTGAAGCGCTTGGGGGAGTGCTCACCTGGCCTTTAGACAAACCAACAGATGATCTTTAATTGCATTTATAATGTAATCTATTACTAAAGTCTTTCAAACTAGAACAAATTTAGAAGCATCCCAAAGTGCCTGTCACAGTCTATTTACGAGGAGCCCGTCTGGCTCAGGACGGCGTGTGTGTGCATGTGTCCTGCCTGATCACCTGGGACTGTGGTGCACCAAAAATAGCTGCCTTCTCAACTGTGGTGACCAGCCACCACTTCCTACTTACTCCTTGGGCGCAAGGACTTGAGTTTTTGCTAGATCAAGAATCAGAGTATCATTGTCCTCAAATGTTAGTGGAATTATATGGATTTCTAGAAACAAAGAAGCTTTCTTATCTTGAGAGTGTTTGGCATAGATGCCACTCTTTCTTATGGTACAACTTGGCCATAAGGATAAAATCTAAAGTGACTGAGTGGAGTCTGCCATGTCATCTCCTATACATAATCTCAGTGATCCTCTGAAAGAACTGAAAGGAGACCTGGATAAACTTAATGTATCAGTCGAATCATCTGGTAAACTCCTGGAAGACTATAATAGGACTGAAAGACTAGGTTAAGGATTTGGACAGAGCACGAGATGTTGGGCCTTATCCGTGGTAGCCTTGGGAATACCATATGCAGAGTTCAGGCAAGGGACAAAAGACTTTACTTGGTTCCCAGAGTTCTTAGGGGAGGCTCTGTGTGCCATGGAAGCTTGTCACCAGAGAGAAAAAGGCTTCTGGATCTGGTGAGCAGGCCTGTGAATGAATCCTGGGCCAGAGGGTCCAAGATAAAAGATGAGAGGCTGGAATGGGAAGCATGGGAAGTGGCCACAAGCAAGTAGGCCTGGCTAAAACTACACATTGTCATGAAATAATTGAAAGATAGATTGTTCATAGTTGAGAGAGGAGGTTTGAGTAGGATCTTGGAGGCCAGGTAGAAGCTCGAACTAATTAACTTAGCAGGAGATGCTTGCTAAAAATGAGCACATAGAACCGGAAAGACTCTGAACAGCAGCTGTACTTCATGGGCCTCATCCCTTAGAAATTAGAGAGCTACTGTATTTAGCTGGGGGACAAGATAGATAGAATAGATAGATAGATAGATAGATAGATAGATAGATAGATAGATAGATAGATAATAGAGAGACAGACACACAAACAATCACCACACATACCCATTTAATGGAGACTTCGTAGTAAGGAATTGCACTGCCAGTCCAAAAGTTCAAACTCAAATCCACCAGCTGCTCCACAATAGAAAAATGGGCAGTCTCCTCCCGTGTGATTTACAGCCTCTGAAAACCCACTGGAGTCTCAGCTATGAGTCAGTTCCAACTTGTCAGTACATAACATAGCATTTTGTCCGTATGTCACGTAAGCTTTTACCAGACCTTTGCTCTGAATCTAGCATCAATTTCAGTTCCATCAGCACTAGCAACTTTGGATCCAGGCACATTAGGTAGTTGCCACCATTCACACCTCCTCTCTCTGGTGCCTTTTAGAAATGGTAGAGATGAGGGGGAAAGGGTCATTCCCAGGGCCAAGCTGACTATAAGTTCAACTGGAGATACTGGGACCAGTTTAGGGAGAACTGGGGAAGCCTTGGTCATGGTCACCCCTAACGGACAGCTCTGAGAAGTTTGGAAAAGAGACTGTTCAGTTGAGCAAGAAAGAACCCAAGCTCTCCCTCACTTGTCAGTGTCCCCCAAGGCAGAAAAGCCTGTGTGCCTTGTAGAAGTGACTACAGACTCACTGGTTGCTGGGCCATTATTTTTCGGGAGCCTGGGATAGGTGACCAGGCCACGAGGAAAGGTGTCTACCTGGATCTTAGGCTTCTTTGTGCAGTGGACAAGAATTACTGGCTGACTGGGCAGTCCCATTGTCTGTCTGTGGGTCTCCTTCACCCCCATTTGGTGTCTAGCGTCCCTGACTAGGACTGCACACACCTTTCTTCGACACATCCTTCAGCATGGCGTTCTGACCCCAGGCTGTCCCTGAGCTTCCAAGGGGAGCCCTGGGCCTCACCCCACCTGTCCTCACAGAGGCTGCTTTCACGCTCCTCCTCTACTGCGAGCTGCTCCAGTGGGAGGACCGGCCGCTGCGCGAGTTCCTCCACTACCCGTCCCAGACCGAGTGGCAGCGCAAGGAGGGGCTGTGCCGGAAGATCATCCACTACTTCAACAAAGGCAAGGTAGGTGCCGTCAGGCAAGTCCTGCAGCTTCTGTCAAAAGCATTGCTCCTTGATCTTGCAGAGATGGCCAGAGCTGCAGGGGATGGGCAGGTGTGTGCAGGTCGTGGGGCCGTGAGAAGGTGGGGCCCACATCTGTGACCATCACTTTCAGAGGCAGGATGATTTTCTCCGGAGGGAGGGAAGAAAACCTACTACACAAACCCCAGCAACATGATTCCATGGTTTGGAAACCAGCTCCAGATCAGGAATGAGAGACAGCCCCACATCCCAGCTTTGTACATCTGTAAACGCTAATGCTCTTACAGAAGGGGCTTCTGGGGCACCATTTCTGGTTTTCAGACTTAAAGAATTAATGATGATGCGGCTTTCCAATCTGCCAGAGAAAATGTGAGCTGTTAAAATTAATGAATTTTAGCTAAGGCAAAATGAGGCCTCTGCTGCCTCTCACTGGTGCATGTTCTTGTCAGGGGTTTTCCCTTCCTCCCAGAACAGCCTGGGCTTCTGTCATTGAAGTTATTCTCCATCAGACCTGCTTCTGGGGCATTGGCAAGCGTTGTCAGCGTTGGTTTAGACTTCCTTGGGGCTCCCCAGCCACTTGGCTCTCATCTGTGGGAGCCCCTCTGGGGGCCCTTCTGGACATTGAGAATTCACTGTAGCCTGAGCAGTGTTGGTAACAGCATTCTCTCATTTCTCGGCTCTGCGCAGCATGGAAAAAGCCGAAACAGAGTCATCTGGGGACTGTAATGACTGAGCCCCTGACTCAAATGGGTGAAGATTGGATTCATTATTTTAAAAAAAAGAATAAAGATTTAAGGATTAATGACTTTTGCCAATAAATCAGGAAACATTCTTTAGTTTTCCATAACCCCAGTGAGTTCAGTGTTTGTCAAAAGCAGTCGCTTGGGGAACTTCACATTCATTAATAAGGAATGCTGCTGGCAAAGAAGAACCGTCCAAACCCACCAGAGCTCTCAGTTACCCTAACCCAGAAGAGGGGCTGAGCGCTGAGCTCTCAGAAGTCACATGTGACTTGGTGACAACACAGCCTTATGCTGCCTCATCTTAGGTCCCAAGCCTTTACAAGTCCCTCTGTTAGGCCAATCTTCCTGGTACACAAAGAAGCCTTGATGGCATAGTACATTGTGTGTTGAGCTGCTAAGTAAAAGGTCAGTGGTTTGAATCCACAAACCACTTTTTGAGAGAAAGATGAGGCAATATCCTGTAAAAATTTACAACTTTGGATATACAGTAAAGGCACCCCTTAGGCCAGAATCGGGGACAGTAGGTTTGGGGTTCTCTTCTTGGCATACAGCCCATCCATGCCCGGCAGGCCTTGCAGCTTGGAGAGAATGGCAGATGCCTGGTGTGTGTGTGCGTGAGTGATTGTAGTGTGTAAGTTCTCTTTACTTTCCCTGGGCACAGAGTACAGAGTGCAGATTATTGTAACTGATGGGACCTGCTGGTGGAACCAGCGCACCAATGGCCCTGTCCTCATCCCACGCTGTCATGGTGCTTAGAAAAGCAGACCTAGACTTCTGTAGTTTGTTTCCTAGACCAGGAAGTGAATCACAGGACTTACCTACTATAGATGGGTAGGAAGGGGAGAAGGATTGGGAGGCTCCACAGATACCTTCTTGGGACCTCCCGTTCCTTCCAGCAAAGCTGCCTTTGCTATCAATTGCTTGAGGATCATGTTCTGTGAGCCCCTTCATCTAGCTCATCCTCAGAAGGGCATTATCAGATAATGTCTCCTCAGACAGAAGATTCAGCTTCAACCTCTCTGTTCCTGTGCCTCAGCACTCAGAGGAACTGGTAAGATTAACAGTTCTTGAAGGAGAGTTTTTTGATGGCTCCAGAAAAGCAAGAGGTGATTGCTGCAAAATAGTGCTCCCGTCGGGCAGAGTGTTTGGTACCAAGGGGAAAACTACATTAGGGCTAAGAGGGGAAGATTCAGTGGAGGGGCAGGTTAGGGTGTGCCGGTGCTCGGTGCTACTAGGACAACTTGTACCATCAACCAGGCTTCTCCTGCTTTCTCCCTCCATACTCTCCCGTCATCTCTCTCCTCTCTCTTCGACAGACTGATGATGACCCAATCAACTTGAGTTCAGTGGTCACTATCTGGGTACAACAGATCGATTGAAGGATCTGCTGGCCTATTTCTTCTCTCTGTAGTAGTGATGTGATTTATGTGGTTTTAGGTGTTAACCTGGGAAACTGCTCTGAGGTGGATGAGACTTCATATCAGAGTCGGCTCTCTTACACCAAAGAGAGAAGAGAATTCCAAAGAAATGAGGTTTGATCCAGGAGAGGTTGAATGAAGGAGGGAGAGGGGAAAGGATGGGAGCTGGTCCTTCTTTCTAAAGCAGATTTATGGAAACTACCTACCTTGAGGCCTCTGTCCACCTGATTATAGACCGTCTGACCAGACTAGCCTTCGCTGTGGCAGTGGGCTTGGGTTCCTCTGCCTGAGAGTTTTCTATAACTCACATTCCTTTGAAGGAGTAATAAATCTGTGGCTTTCAATATATTGTGTGCATGACAAAGAACAAAGGCTGCAGACTGGAGTCCATTCCTTTCCTTGGCCTCTCTTTGCACTGTTGATTAGAGTTGTCCCCAAGTCTTCTCAGCTTTGGTACCATCTTTGGTGATAAGTAGAGGGTATGTTCATGATAAAGAGATATTAAAGCATTTATCTTCCAGAACTAATAAGAATTATGGGATTTCAGACACTGGAAAGGAGTTTCAGAGTGGGCTTTGCCTCCTGTCTGCAAGGCAGAAACCAAGGTCAAAGGTATAACCAAGGAAAAGGTATAAAAGGGAATGCAGTGTATCTGCATCTTGTTCCCCACCTTTGTGCAGAGGGAGCCCTCAGAATGCCTCATGGATGGCACAGGGTTCGTAAACTCTTGGTCCTGGATCACTTGAAAGATACTTGAGAAGGCCTTGGGAGCAGCAGGGCTATAGATTCGGGTAGCAGTGGCAGCAAGACAGATAAGCACTGATCTCAGTGGGAGAGGAGACTTGTTGCACTGGGAGGGCTGTTGGCAGGCAGAGTGCTATTAGCCCTCTGTGGAGCCCTCATCACCTAAATGAACAGCCTCCCATGGGGCAGAGCTTGGCAGACTGTCCAGAAGTCTGCACAGAGCTCAGCTCCTTCACCGTCCCCACAGAACTGCCTGTCAGGAAAACCCTTTCCTTGGATAAAATCTGTCCAGGTGGTACTGGGAGCAGGAAGGGGGACTGGCATGTGCCTGTTTGAAAGCTGACAGCATAAGAAGACACAACGCTTCCCAGCTGTCTGAGGCCGGCAGGTTATATTGGGCCAAGGAGCAGAGACTCCATTTAAAATTCTCTTTGGTTTGTTTTAGTCTTTTTAATTGGTCCTGCATTTTCAGTCCATGTGGCATTCATTTCTTCAAAGATGGAAATGATAACTTCTTTTTTGAGGAAAACAGTCCCAAATGAAAGTGTTGGTCTTTTTCTCTAATGCTGAGGATACTGTATCATGCAGTATTTTTAAAAAATATAGTCCTTTTAAAGATTTATACTGAATTATCTGTAGGTTAAATTGTGTAATGTCAGGGATAGATTTGCTGCAAAAACTGTGGGCTTGGAACGTAGGTGGATGGTGAATAATACAAGCAAGATTGATCATAAATTGGTCATTACTGGGATTCGTTCTTCTGTCTTCTCTCCTTTTCTATATAGATTGAGATCTCCTATAATTAAAAATGTTAATTATTATTTAAAAGTCAAAGGGAAAATATCAAGTACATGATGATTCTAGGGAGCCATGCTACCCTAAATGAAGGTGATTGCCACGCTTCCCAGCCAGCGGGGCCTGTCACTGTGACAAGAGTCACACCAGGAAACAGACTGAGGGTCTGATTGAGCAGTTGTCAAACCTGGTTCCAAGACCTTGAATGGTCACTTACTACTTGGTTTCCAGGCTTTTTTAAAAACAAAACTTAAGTGGTCTGAGCCTAGAGGTCAGCATCTCCTTCATTAACTCATTAACTTAATAAAGATTATATAAACCTTTGTTGAGTACTTGCTACATACCTGGCACTGTTCCAGGCTCTGAGGATAAAATAAATAGGGTTCCTGCTCCCATGTAATTTATCCACTCATCGAGACTACGCAACAACAAAAAAGTAAATCCATTTTTAAAATCAATATAACTTCAGCATAATAGGGTAGGGAATGGTTGAGGAAGGTGCTTGTCCTTGACAAGGTGGTCAGGGGAGGTATCCTAGGGATGGAGACATTTAAACAAGAGACCTGGAAGATAGGCCTTGAAGACCACACAGTGCTGGGTGCCATACTCCAGAAATCTGTTTTGAATAGACAGTTTTTTTGTGATGTATGAGGGAGTTCTGATGGCCTAGTGGTAAGAAACTGTGCTGCAATCCCAGAGGCATGCAATTTGAATCCACCAGCTACTCCACAGGAGAAGGATGGGCAGTCTCTTCCTGTGCAATTAACTGCCTTGGAAAACCCGCTGGAGGGTCAGCTATGGGTCAGTTTCAACTCGATGGTACTCAACAACAATGAGTGAGAACTAGCAGGAGGCCTTTTATTGTGTCTTCTGAGGTGCTGAAGCCTCATTCTTGTTTATGTCACAGAGCTGGGAATTTGGGATTCCGCTGTGCAGGGAGCTGGCGTGTCAGTACGAGAGCCTTTATGATTACCAGAGCCTCAGCTGGATCCGGGTAAGCCAGCCCCCTACCTAACTCTTCCTCCAGGGAAGAGTTGTGCTCTCTATTCTAGGTCTTCCTGGCATCTGTTTCTGAGTGAGCATTCAGGATAGGCTCAACATTACCCTTAAGACGTTTAAAAGAAGAGACCAAGATCATTGGCTTCAAGATATATAGATAGAGATATATAGACTGGTTAAGGAACCAAAATGCATGTCTGCAGACAAGTTAAATAATTTAGATAGACCCCAGCGATAGAGAGTCAGCCTAGGCAGGATGAGGAGGTGACTTCTTGAAGAAGCTTTTCTGGCATGGCTTAGTTCAGAAATGGTTCACAGGAACACCAAAAGAACTTACCCTGCTTTGGCTTGTGGTAATTTTTAAGCAACTTATCTTTGCTTCTTTGAAGTGGCATGTTCAGAAGTTAAGCCAGATGCCCCATGGACTTTGGTGGACTCCAGGAGGTTGTTTGGGTTTTTTCTCTCCCCCTCACCTCCGACTAGCTGGTTCTGCATTCTAAGTCTTAAAAGATACTGAATTCATTGGCAGCGAGGTCAGCCACTTACGCAGATATCCCTCCTGCACCTTGTCTGGGTCGCTTATTCTCTTTCACCGGTAAGAGATTTGGATCTGGACCTAGATGATGAGTGTGGTCCTCCAGAAGAGTCTTTTAAAAAAATGTATAATGGTTTATTTACAAAGTTCATAAAGTTCATATACATGGGAGATTTTTTTCTAAAAAAATAATTTACTGGTTTGCTTACAGAGTTCATATACTTTGTGTTTCACACTGTCTTTCATTCACATTGTGTTTCAAGCATTCCCATTCATTGTTTTATAAAATCAGTCATCATTAACTATGCCCACCATGACCCTTGACCAGCCATTGAAGCTGCTCCCTGGCAGACCAACTGGATGGGCTCCAGTAGGACTGTCTTTTCCAATTTCAGTGAGTTTTTCTGAACCAGAAGCCAAGTCAGTCAAGACAGGAACATCTACCTGCCTTGACCATGCCAGGCATCATGGATAGCCGTTTATTTTTAAAATCTACAGTTTCCCAAACTGGGACCAATACCAGTGATTCTGGCAACCTAGCCTTCCTCATTCTGTTACTGTCTTCAGTCCCAAGTTGATGAGCAAGAGCAGATACAGTTGGACTGACGTGAACTAGAGCTGAGAATCACTGTTGACTAACAACCTGGAGTAGGAATCAACCTGTGTAGTGAGTGTTGGTTCAATCAAGAGATCTCTGGGCAGAAAATGTCAGTGTGGACGTGAGGTCCCAGGTATAGACAGCTTGAGTCTTCAAGCAGCAGAGGGTCCACCTTCTGGGAAAGGAGCATGCAAGAAGTTGGACAGGGCTGCAGCCAGCAGGTTGTCCCCATTCCACTGTCAGATGTTGATAGCAAAGGGCTTCCTCCTCCTCCTCGATGCAGCAGTCTGAGAAAAGACAGGCATGGCTCGGGGCTCTTCCCCTTCTTACCCAGCTGCCATGATATCTTTCCAGAAAATGGTGACTACTTGGGATTGGGGGAACATGCTTTGAACAGCCATCCTCACGGGCCTTTATCATTCACAGAAAATGGAGGCCAGCTACTATGACAACATCATGGAGCAGCAGCGCCTGGAGCCTGAGTTCTTCCGAGTTGGCTTCTACGGCAGGAAGTTTCCTTTCTTCCTTCGGGTGAGTCCATTCAAGCAGTCCCAGCCAGAGACTTCTGTTTTACACAGAATTCTTGAATAGTGTTTTTTGTTCGCTTTCTTTGTCTGTCTGTCTGTGTCTCTCTCTGTCTCTGGCTTTTTGCTTATTCTACTGAATATTTCTTTTCAAAGGATTGGCTGTCAACAGATGACTTGATTTGGCCTTATTTGAGCAGGCAGCTGCCAAATTTAGACGCTTTTTTAAAGTGATTTAAATATTAAAATATAATATTTTTAAAAATTTATTATGTTTTGTGTCTACTAGTAAATGTATGGAGGTAGTTTTCTTACCACATCAATTGAGTTCGAGCAGAAAGTGACCGAGTTCTGAAAATGCCCCACCGACATGGTTAAAAACCTTCTCCTTTCTGCCACCAGCACCTGGAATCCTCCATCATGGCTATTCTTAGCAAGATTGGGTGCCAGCTCAGTCCTGACCTGAAAGATATGGTTTTGGGGGTTTGTCATCTCACATGGTGGTTCTCCCCACCAGCTGCACCTTACACTGCATGGCCAGGGTGGAGAGTTACTAAAGGGGAAGAACCCAGAGGACAGTCCACTTGCCCCTGAAGCTGTGCAGGGAATGCCAGGCGGGAAAGCCTTTTTAGGAAGCCAGTTCTCCGCCTCACCATTTCCTGAAAGCTAGCACTGGGATATAAGCAGATTGGAGAGAATGGCTGAGCATAATGAACTGACATAAGTCAGACTCTGTGATTCTTTTCTTCAATTCAGCAAAACACAGAGGCAGGAGTCCCGGGGGCATCGTTGTTCTCAGATGACCTAAATGCCACTGTATTTGAAGGGCCCCTGTGGCTGCAGCTGAGACTTAAAAGACACTCTGATTGCCCCCAGCTCTAATTTCCTACTCAAGTTACAAGCAGTGCTCACAGGGAGCCATTCTGAGGACCACTTTGATATGCTGGGATCCCCTCTTCTTGGAGAAATTTCTTTATCCAATGAGCAGTACAAGCTTAGTATTATAGCATCAAGGGCCACCTAAGTTTGATGGCTCCTTCAGTAAATTCAGTTTGCTAATAATGGAGTCTAGGCTATCCATATTTCAAGATGAAAGCAGGTCAACCTGCCCTTTTCCTGTGCAGTAATCATCCTAGGCTTGAAACGTTGTTGTATGAAAACCAGCACTGCTGACAGGTGCAGCAAGCACGCTATAATTGCGATCCCCAGTTGGACTCTAGTTCTCTTCTGGGGGAGTGTTTTGGGGAGCAGACTAGGAATTAGTAGTGGGATATTCTAAGGAGGAAGAACCTCCTTCCCTGTCTCCTGACTGTCTAGCCCAGGTATTTCAGAAATAGATCAGAAAACAGCAACAGAAGTGGAGGTGAGCAGAAGAGAAGTAAAAAAGTAGAAACTAAAAGCATCTCAAGAAAGTCCTTTGTCAAACTAATGACTCTGGCCCTGTAATTTGTTCCTTTCTCATTTTATCTTTATAAATTATGCCTCATTGCTGTTTTATTCTCCTTGTCTAGTCCTACAATTTAGTGAAATCATTATTTCACTCCAAAACATCATTCTTTAGGATCTTACAAAGCCAAGCCTCCAATCTTTCCCCACCAAGCAGCAGTGTCCCCACCCATTGTGCTCATGTCAGAGCACGTCAGTGTCTCAGAGCTTTCTGACAAGTAGGACCTGGCATAGAACCTCTATCTGGGTCATCCAAACAGTCCTCCCAAATACAGTGTGAGTGTTCAAATGTGGTTTGGAGGAGCTCCAAGAATAGAAGAGGAGCATCTGGGGTGTTAAATGTCCAGGCTCCCCTATACACAAGGAGCAGGCTCCAGAGACTGTGCATTCAGAGCCCCCATCTGACCACATGCTGGATTCATCTGTGGCAGATGGAATAAATCCCTGTAGGAGTAATGTGCCTTTTAGGTGGAAAGACAAAGTGCAAAGCAGCAGCAGCAGCAGCCAGATCTGTCTCTTTGGGGATGCTGGGCCTCTCGCCCAGGTGAAAGTGAGCCCAACAGCCAACCTCAAGGTCATTGCTGTGCACCTTCCCCAGACGGCCAGCCTCCTCCCTCACCCGCTGAACACACAGGCCATCTATTACTTGAACTCTGTCAGCTTGGTTCCTCCGGACCATCTGCCTGCCTCCCCTCACAAATGTGATTATGTACTAATCTGCAAGGAGAGGAAAGCATAAAACCTCCCTTCTCAGAGAAATTTCTGTTTCTCTTCATTTGACCCATGAGCAGACACTGGTGAGGGCAGTGCATGTGTGAGTGAACACAGAAAGGCCAGTTCTTCATGGGAGCCAGGTCTGCTTCTCGAAGGCTGTGCAGTGCCTGTCCTTTGACTCAGATACAAGGGTCTCTTCTAGCTAGTCTGACCCTGCTGACCTTGACTTCCCCTTTGATCATGCCCTTCCATTCTGACCCATTAGGATGCGTAGCCCACCTTAGCCGAGCTCTCCAGTAGTGAGAAGGGGAAAGGACAGAGGTTGGAAACCTTGTTTGTACAGTGACTGCGATCCTCTGGGCTGAGCCTGTGGTCAGCACTCCTGTGGAAAGCATGCCTGGGCTGTGAGCCTCCAGCCTTCTGAAACTTGTTAGGAGCAACAGCCAGTGCTTGCTGTGTCAGTCACACTGGGGAGGCAGCTGAGTGGATGGGCAGATGTCATCAGCGGGTTTCAGGGGGATTTCCTCCAGCTGCTTGCTGGGACCAAAGCAGATAGAATAGCAAGAAGAGGTGCACTGTCCAGGCTTCATTCCACAGAGACGAAAGCTGGAGCCTCCCCTGAGCCTCACAGCATAAGGTTCATACAGTGTGAGATTAAAATGATGTCCGTTTGTCCTGTTGACATTTTGCAAAGAAATTTGTTGCTAAAGGAATTTATTAATGCCCTGAACAATTATTGCATACCTCCTTCTTTCCAGACAGTATTTAGTCTCTTTTTCCCATTTGACAAAAGTGATTCTTCACCTGATCACCCCCTAATTAAAATTCTTTTGTTACACAACATCTCTGAGCCTGGCCAGCAGGTTGGCCTCTGCATCTACCACTTCCTGTCTTGGCATTATTACCCTGATTCTCCCTGCCCGTCCCCACTCCCTCTGCTGAGCTAACTGAGGTTATACTTTCCAAACTCTCTTCAGGCTTGGCTTTTCCCAAAATCCCACCCCTCACCTTGCACCCTACACTCCTTCTACCTTCCTGAAGCCTGTACCCCACTCCTGTGGCTGCCAAACCGCAGAACCATCCAAACCTTCCTGAGTTTCAACCCTTTGGAACAGGAGCCAAGTGCTGTGCCCTGTGCCCTCTGTCAGAGAGGGTCCTGGGATGTTGGAGGGGTGAGGTGGACCCCTGAGGCGGTGAGGAGCTAGGTCTAGAGCTTTTTCTCACATTTGTGGCAGAACAAGGAATACGTGTGCCGAGGCCACGACTATGAGCGGCTGGAGGCCTTCCAGCAGAGGATGCTCAGCGAGTTCCCGCAGGCTGTCGCCATGCAGCACCCCAACCACCCCGACGACGCCATCCTTCAGTGCGACGCCCAGTGTATCTTTTGATCTGTGGTGGGGACGAGGAGTCCAGGGCCCTGGAGGGTGAGGCCCACCTGGTCATCTGGCCCCTGCCGTGTTGTTAACCATGCAGGCTGGAGGCCTCTCATGAGTCCTAAGCTAGAATATGTCCTCATCCCGTAGACCCCATGGAGCGGGCACTTGGGCCTCACAGAGGGGGCAGTGTCGGGCCTTAGCCGTGGGTGGCTTCATTGTCAGCACAGCTGATGATGGGATTTTCTTCCCTCCTGCCAACATGTGGTCCACCCTGACCCGAAAGGAAAGCCACATCCAGCCAGCTGGGAGCAGTCACTGGAAAGAGAAGGCCAGCCAAATTTCTTCTGCAGGGATGTCACGAGTGCCGTGTTCCATTTCCCTATGCACTGTACATGTCCCTAGTCAAAGGTCAGGTCAAATGAGACACAGCCCCAGGAATGAGGGCCTAGAGGAGTGACCAGTGTCTCTGCCCTTGGTGGCTTTTCTGAATCTGAATATGAACACTGCCCTACCCCTCACCACCCCATGTGGTCTCCTTGGAGACCAGGTAACCAGGTGACAGTCACCATGACTGTTCACCTTTGTTCCAGAGAGTGGGGACAGGTAGACTCCCACCTGTTGTCTTCCCAAAGATACTGTGTTGTTGTTGTTGTGAAAGGATTGCTCTGCAGTAAATACAGTTTACCTAAGGCAAGCAGCCTTGCAGCCTCCTGTCACATCTTCAGGGTAGGAACCTTCCTTCTCCAGGTTTCTTTGCTCTTCTTTTCTGAAGGGATGCTAGAGAGACCACTTGATTGTTGGAATGTTAACTTGGTTGAGTGATTGTAAGACTTATTAGTGGGGGATAAAAATGGAGAGACTGGATAGACTGTGCTTGAGTCTGATCTGCCCCCTGGGATGCTCTGCCTGCCCCGCTGCTGCCCACAGGAAACAAGACCACAGTGCTCTCCTCTCCCCGTGAGACAGAAGAGGTCACCACTCCATGACCTTCTCTTTGGAAAGTCTAGTTCTCCCTTTACTTCCTGCCCAGACTTACAGATTTATGCGGTGACGCCCATTCCAGATTATGTGGATGTTCTGCAGATGGACAGGGTCCCTGACCGTGTCAAGAGCTTCTACCGTGTCAACAATGTGAGGAAGTTCCGCTATGACAGGCCTTTTCACAAAGGCCCCAAGGACAAGGAGAATGAATTCAAGGTGAGCAAATTGAGGACAATGGGATGGGAGCGCACAGTGAGCACTGGGAAAGCCCAGGAAGTCTTCACTGGCCTGGGCGCGGTGGGCTGTGCTGGGATTTGCCTAACAGCCAGTTCCTGCCTGTGCCTCCCTGCAGAGTCTGTGGATTGAGCGCACGACACTGACCCTGACCCACAGCTTGCCTGGCATCTCTCGATGGTTTGAAGTAGAGAGGAGGGAGCTGGTAAGACACGTCTCAGGTGATGGAGAATTCACAGCTGCTCTCTCGGCCCTCTAAACTCCAGAGACCCCTCACAAGGACTGAGGAAAGAAAACGAGCATAGGCCACCTGCCCGCCCAGCCTACACCTCTGCTTGTCAGAGCTGAACTGGCAGCCCTGTTTGCTTTCCCTCATGTAATCCACATAGCAGCCCGGAGGGCAGGAATTCTAAATCTTTTGTTTTATAAAATGAGGAAACTCATTTCTGAGGTTCAGGAAGCCAGAGCTCACTCACCTCACATCCTGCTGCACTTCTCAGTGCCTTAAAAAAAAAAAAAGTAATAAGGACTCAGAATCTCTGGTCCACATAAACCTGGCAGACGAATCAGCATTCAAGATCTTGGATGCTTACATTCAGGAGCATGACAAATAGTCCTCGAGTCCCTAGGATGACACGGTGTTCTGTGTGCCCCCAGGTGGAGGTGAGCCCTTTGGAGAATGCCATCCAAGTGGTTGAGAACAAGAACCAGGAGCTTCGTGCCCTGATTAGCCAGTATCAGCACAAGCAGGTGCATGGTAACATCAACCTGCTCAGCATGTGTCTGAACGGTGTCATCGACGCTGCGGTCAATGGGGGCATCGCACGCTATCAGGAGGTGAGCCCGGAGCCTGCCTGGGAGAACTGGTGGTCTCACCTCCTGTTTCACAACCCTAGCCTCTTCCCCAGGACCCCTTCCCAGCTAGCCCTCTCCTTACCAAGCCCAGCTGACTTAGAATGAGGCCACATCTCCCTGTCACTCTTGGTTTCTGTGCCACAGCTCTCTGGTGGGAATTTTTTCTTGCCATTTTATTTTTTGAACTCTGAACAGCTAGGTAATCCATCTGATTATGGGAGAGTGTTCAAGAGGCACCCTGGAACCTGGACAGCACCTTGTGAAAAGGGAGCCCTCACTCAGCCAGCCCTCACTCCTCAGCCCCCTCCTCTGCCTCTCCCACCTGGACCGTCAGGTCCCATGAGAAATTAGGCTTATATGACTTAGCCACCTCCAGTCCTCTCAGCTGTAAGAAGGGCAGTTGTGACTGCACAGGTTCAGGTCAGCTGGGATTGTGCTAGTGTGTGTTTCTATGAAGAGGCAGCTCTTTGAGGCCCAAGTTTCCTGGGCCCACAGAAGTACCAGTCCTGGGAAGTCTGCTCATTTGCCCTTCCCTCTCAAAGGCCTTCTTTGATAAAGATTACATCACCAAGCACCCAGGAGATGCGGAAAAGATCACCCAGCTCAAAGAACTCATGCAGGAACAGGTATGCCACCCACGGCCTGGGGACCAGGCACCTGGTGGGGAGTCCAGGTGCCTCAGGATGACTGCAATTCCCAGGTTTCTGCCTGACTAACAGGTACCATTTCCCTAATAGGTCCATGTCCTTGGTGTTGGGCTGGCAGTTCATGAGAAGTTTGTGCACCCCGAAATGCGGCCTCTGCATAAGAAGCTGATTGATCAGTTCCAGATGATGCGGGCCAGCCTGTACCACGTAAGCCGATCCCCGTCTTGCCCCTGCTGCATTCCGGCCAGGCTTCACCACCTTCAGAACTGTGCAGCCAAAAAACAGGAAGATAATGGAGGGCACGGGAGGGAGAAGCTGTCCGTCACCATAGAGGGGCAGGGGGCAGAGCGGGTGCCACATCCAAAGGCTGGCTGTGACCTTTGGTCTCTTCCTAAGGAGCAGTCAGGTTCAAGGACAAGGAACTTGTTTTCCACACTGCGATCCAGAGTAGAAGCTTCATATGAAGAAAGAAAGAACTAAAATTTACATAGTCATGAATAGGAACCTCTTAGAGGTTCCTTCCCGTCTCTCCCTCTTCCTTTCACTGCCTCATGTCCCTCTCTTTGCCCTTCTCATCTGACTGCCTTTCTTTCCTCCCACACTATGCCCTCCAACCTTTCTACTTAACCCAGAGTTGGAGAGAGCTCGGCTGGGCAGAACCGTCATGTTGGGTGTCTTTTAAAGAATCATGTAGGATTGTAGTCTCTGACCCAGGCCCCATGAAGTGTCCTCGACTTAGCCTGTCTCTTAGGCATCAACAGCAGAGTTTGGTTGAAGGACTGATGACTACTGGAAGTGGCTGATGCCAGAGCACATTTCTCTCGGGGGATTTTGCAGGCACTGTTGACACTCATCCCCTTTTTTCAACTACAGGGAAATTTCAAGTGTTTTCTAGAATCATCAGACTGGCTCCCAAGTACCCAAGAGCTGTAAGGCCAGTTACCTCCTGTCACCCAGTAAAGTCCTCACCTCATTACCCAGGAGCAGTGGGTATAAATAGCAAGACAGCAGAGCTGTCCAGCTGGGCCCTGAGGAGGCCTGGCCTTCCTGAAGCTGACCCGTCTTATTCTTGGATGCTAGAGGGTCGTCATCTCAGGTCCTCCAGGCCCCCAAGATAGATGTTGCCTGTTTTCACATAAGTGTGGACACTTCCTAACTTTACAGTAAAGAAGCATGTCTGTCATGTGGGACATGGGATCCTTTCCAGAGGAGAGCCGCAGAGGCTAGAATTCCTCCTTTCTGTAATGATCCCCCCTAAATTCAAGGTAAAATATGCAAGAAAGTCTTTTAGCTTCCTCTTAAAACTGCTATTTTTGTTGTTATTAAGTGCCACTGAGTTGGAACTGATTCGTAGCTAACCCTCCAATAGGTTTTCAAAGCTGTTAGATCATACAAGAAATTGTCCTTTTTTCTCCCATAGAGTCAGCTGGTGGATTCGAACTGCCTCCCTTTGGATTGGCATGTGCAGCTCCTTACCACTAAGCCACCAGAGAGCTTCCTGTTCTTAAAAAGCATGTCCAATTTAGTGGTCAGTGGTAAGAAGCTACACTGCAATCCCAAAGGTACATAGTTCGAATCCACCAGCTACTCCATGAGAGAGGGATAGGCAGTCTTCTCCCATACAGTTAACTGCCTCTGAAAACCTCCTGGAGGGTCAATTATGAGTCAGTTCTGACTATGTGGCACACAACAGCAGCATTTAGTAATTGTGGGAGTCGGGGGGAGCCCTTGAATAATGCCACTGAATCTGATTCCCTCTCAAGCTTTCACACCTCCTGCTGGTAGTAAGAGCTCAGAGCTTGCCTGGCCCCTGAGTCCAGTCACAGCAAGTGGCCAAGGCGATCAGAGCCTAGCTGCTGGAGAGGTTCTCTGCTTGCAGCCAGTGAGGTGAGGTCTCTGTAGCCGAAAGAATGCTCGTCCACAGACATCAGGTCTTCAGAGCATACATGTGGTGTCTTCTGGGCTGCAGAAGCACATTTGTGCCTTCTTCATGCTTTGGAAGGGTGTGAAAAACCTGTTGTTCCTACTTCCGACTGATTCAAGAACATGCCCAGTGCTCCCAGGACGGTAAAGGATTTGAGGAAATCTGGACACCCTGCTTCGTTTCCTCAGAGTGACAAATAGGAACATAAGTCACCCTGCTGGCACCCACGAGGGCCCTTCCCTCAAGACCTCCGTGTACTTTATAAGAATTTAATTATGCTAAAATAGAACTGTGCTCTTCATTCAGTTACTGACACCCAGATTTTGCATCCTGTGGCCCCATAAACTGTGTCACAGGCAGCTCCACTCAGGTCTCTCCAAGCTGGGCCATTTAGCAATCCAGTAAGACCTAAGCCCGAGCCTTGCATAAGTGATGCCCAGTCAGGCTCACTTTGCGGCTTCCCAGTCCTTGCTGTACTGATTCTGCAAGGAGCAAGTCTCCTCACAGCATTCCTGTGAGCTTTAGCTTCTCCTGGTGGGGACAGCCCAGGGCTCCATGCTCTCTAACCGACCTCTGATGTGGCTCAGAGGGTGTTGCAGTTGTGAGAAGATCATTGCACAGAAGCAGCCAGCAGTTAAGGTTCAGCCAGCAGTATGTTGTTCTTCCATATTGATTTTTATTCTCTGCCATCAACTAGTATTCCATCTTGTCCTTTAATTACCTGTTCATTCTTTACTCTCTGACAAAGGGACATTTATACTTCACAGGAATTTCCAAGTTTGGACAAGCTAAGTCCTGCCTGCTCAGGCACCAGCACCCCCCGGGGAAATGTCCTGGCATCCCACAGTCCCATGAGCCCTGAGGGCATGAGGATGACCCACCGGCACAGGTATGGCCCACAAGAAGTAAGTTTGTCAAGGGTTAGCACGAAATCCTAAATAGTATCTGGTTGTCCTTAACTCAAGTGCCCTCATGCTGCACACAGCACACACTTGCCCCAGCTCCTGCCACCAGACTGATGCCCTCAATCCAGCTAGTGTCTACTCTGGGTGTCACACAGGCCCACCTGGTACTGTAGAAACACAGAGGAAGGGACATCGAGGGGTAAATCTTGAAAGATAAATAGAAGTTTGAAAGGCAGAAAAGAGTTGAGGTTAGGGGGAGGTAACGGAGAAAGGTCCAGGCCAAGGGCCTAACATTTCCAGAAACCTCAAGTTGTGAGCAAGCCAAGACCAGCTATGAATATGCGTTATCCAGTCTGGCTTCTGGATTTGAGGAGAGTTCTCAGGAAGAGAATGGTCTCTTGATACAAACATCCAAGCATAGCTGCTCTGGACCCAGAGATCCTGACCCACATGGCCACCAGTGAAGATTCTGGGGAGAAGAGCATGCAGGAGCCCCTCACCAGGGATTGTTTGCCTTCATGAGCAGCAAGTCAGCATAGTGGCCTCGCAGTCAATGAGAAAGAATGACTGAGTGAGGGGCTGCGTGCTCGTGACAAAAGTTTTAAGTTTGTGGCTTTAGATGTGGAAGGAAGCCCACTCATCGTTCACAGCCAGCTCTACAGGGTACTCAGCATAGGAGCAAATGTCGTCTTGGTGTGGACAGCGAGCAGGCACTGGCTCAGACGAACAGCCCAGAGCAAGGAGGGTCTGTGAACTGCTACTTAAATGAAACTGAGTGGCCCTGTGTCATTTAATTCTAAATAGAAGACATGCCATTCCAGCCACCATTGATCATCCTGGAACAAAGGACCACCCCCACCCCCACCACCCCAAGCAGCAGGGACGCAGAACTACTCCAGGCCTCAGATGGGTCTAAGCATTGGTGCTGGGCCTAAACATGACACAATCGCTTTCATTGCCCCCCACTCCCAGCAAGGTGCTCCACTCTGAGCCTGACTCTTCCCTCTCTCCCGCTCTTGCTTGCAGCCCCATGAACTTGATGGGCACAGGCCGCCATTCCTCCTCCTCTCTCTCCTCACACGCATCTAGCGAAGCGGGAAACATGGTGATGCTGGGCGACAGTGCCATGGGCGAGGCTCCCGAGGACCTGTACCACCACATGCAGGTATCAGAGCTGAGCACGGAGGACAGGACAGGCCACCAGGGTTGAGTCCTCACCTTGGCTGGCTGGTCTTATCTGAGGTTCTCGTCCTGCCAAGTACTCCAGTCCAGGAATCCAGAGCATGCCCCACCAGCTAACAGACATCCACAGTAGCCCCACCTCAGTTCCCAGGCCTCTCTTCCTGAGATGGACACCCAACAGCAGTCCTGGTTACCTTGACAGATTCTCTGCCAGAAAACCCTCTTATCTGGCATACCTAACTAACAGCTAAGCCCTTCTTCTCCCCTGGGCACCATCCGCAGAGCCCACCCAACAACAACACTCCCTGTGGGTGGGGTGGGTGACTCCCAGTAAGGGGCAGGGTGCAGCATGAGGCACCAGGTCTGGCCCCCTTGGAGCGTGGAGAAGCCAACTCTGGACCAGCCCTACACTCCGGGCCACTCAGACCTCTGTCCTGCTGACTTTTCTCCCTTTGCAGCTCGCGTATCCCAATCCCAGGTACCAGGGCTCAGTCACCAACGTGTCTGTTCTGTCCTCGTCCCAGGCAAGCCCTTCTTCCTCCAGCCTGAGTTCCACCCACTCAGCACCATCCCAGATGATTACCTCTGCCCCTTCCAGTGCCCGAGGTAAGGATGGCAGGGCGCCGCTTACAGAAGAGAGAGGAGAGGGCCTTGGGAGCCCTCCTCTCATCTGTGACTCTACCTCTGAGAATGGCCCATGACTTAGAGGATGCTCATTCTGTGCTTTCAGCACCAAGAACCCCAAGTACCTGCCTCTAGACCTCTCTCTGGCTGGCTTCACCCTGCTTTGAGCAGTGGACCCAGCTGTCACCCCCCCCCCAACCTCTGTAGGAGGACACACAGCCTGGAAGGAAGCTCACTTCTTCCCCACGGAAACGTCCAGAGTTAAAAGTACAGTTAAGACAAAAGGGAGTCTTTTGTCCTAAGGAATCAAGCATGATGACAAAGTAAAAGAAATAAATTTGAAGGCTAAAATTAACCCTGGAAATTGTTACCCAAACCAATAACAGCAAGCACAACAACATTCTTCAGCTGAGAAAGGCTTAATCAGAAGAGATGGTGCTGTAAAAAGCTATTTACTTTGCCAATTACTGCTTGATTTCTTATTCAATTGAATAAATATTGTTCTCTGGGAGCTAACATCTTCTTCACATGCTGGTCCCAGTTCCTACAGTGAAATTTGATTTTCTGTCTCTTTAGACAGAAACACTTGCAGTGGAATGGGAATTAGCTCCAATAACAAAGATCTAATACTGCCTGGGGTTGGCTCTGCAGGATAGGAATTGAGGAGAGTGGTGTGAGCATGTCAGGTGCTGCCAGTGTATCCAGGCTCGAGGAAGGGCTGGGTGTCTGCTTGTTGTTCTCAGCACTGTGAAGACAAAGAGAAGTATCTTGGATTTATTACCTAGAGGTTCAGGAAGAAAAATAATCTACTTCTGCAGAGCACACACACACCTGGAAGGCCCACAGTAGGAGTGAGGGAAATTGGCAGTGTGGCACCATGGCCACCTGGGGCACACCTTGGCAGAGGTTACAGAACAGGGTGATTCCAACAGAGACTAAAAGATCACGCCCCGCCCATTATTTCCACGTGGAAGCTGGTCTAGTGAGAGAGACTTTAGGTCACCCACCAGGTCATGGCTCAGCTAGGGTTTAGCAAGCACGACTTTACACTCATCAGCCAATGTCTGATGCCCATTCCCTGGTCTGCCTTCCTGACATGGACTGTGACATTCAGAAAAGGGGAAGGCGGCATTTGAGAGCAGGCACTTCCAGCAGAATGTTAAAGAAGGCAAGTGAAAACAAATTGGGACCTGCCAAGGATTGTCAAGATGTAAAGGCATCAAACAGAGATTGAGCAGTGCTTTGTTTTAGAAAGATGTCGAGAAGGATGGCTTTGACAGTCAAAAGGAAGGTGTCCCTAGGAAGTTACCTGTGAAGGTGCTGGAGGAGGTTGGCTTTGGTAGTTTAAGGTAAGTGCTCCTGAATGGAGCTCTGAAAACAGATCTTCTAGCCCAGTGTCTCACTTTTCTAACTGAGTGGTCTCTAGGATATGCTCAGCCTTATCAACATCTTTATCTGAGTATCTTACTGAAGACATCAGTGCATCATGACAGAAGGCAGCAAAGGCGGGCATTTCCACTGTCTTCTTCTCTGACACTTCTTAGATGCTTCCTGTGGCCTGTGCTGCATACTTGGAATGGTGCCCTGGATAGAACAAAGATGAGGAACAAGCAGGCCCTGCTGTCAGGGGCCTCTCAGGCTGACTATTGTCTTTGTCCTTCGAGCAAACCATTTACTGATTGATTCATCCATCAAACGTCAGTGAAGACTCCTCATGCCCCCAGCCTCAGAAAGCACTGTCAGGTTTAACTAGTGAGGCGTGATTCTCTCCTGCCTCAGACACTTCTCTGTATCACATGGCACGGTTAAAATAAGGCCCTTCTGCTAACTTGCTGCTGGGAAGTCAACCACCAAAACCTGGTTGTTTTAGGACAACAATCTCTAATCATCTCTCACTTTTCTGTGGGCTAACAAGCCTCATTGAATGACTCTCACTTGGCATTCATGAGCTTGCAGTTATTCGTTAGCTGGAGCTGGAGCCATCTAAAGACTCAGCTAAATTGATGTTCAAGATAGCTCACGTAGCTTGCTGTTGGAGAGTTTGTCAACCAGGAGCTCAGCTGGTGCCCATCAATCTGAGCACCTACATACGTGGCCTTTCTGTGTGGCTTGGGCTTCTCACAGAGTGACAGCCTCTTTTCACCAGAGCGAGGATTCAGGGAGACAGAAGTTTCCACCTCTCAGTACAGGTTTGGAAGTCCCAGAATGTCTCTTTTTTCCACATTGTTTTGGTAATCAGTCACTACAGGCAGGTCCCAGGGAGAAAACAGAGGACTTGCCGCAGGAGATGCCAAGTGTGCACCTACTGGAAGGGAAGGCGTTGGTAGTCTCCATGTCTGGAGGCAAAGCTACTCCAGTGATCAAACTCCAAAATGCCACATGGAGGAAGACACCATGAGAATCTTCAAAAGCAAACAAAATGATTACAGAAAACTTGAGGCAGAGCAAGGAATTCTGACAAGAGCCAAGAAATAAGAAAGAATAGACAGCCTCTTGCAGACAGCAGCATCCATGAAATCTGAGCGCAGGCCCAGCTGTCTGTCAAGCGCAGTGTTAGGCCCTGTGAGAGTAGAGAGGACCGTGTGACACAGCCTTGCTCCAGGCACTGGTGTGTTCAGAGAACGTGGCAGACCCAGTGGTTGATGTTCCATGGGCACAAAAGGGAGGACTCTTGGTTTTATAGCAGGTGAGGGGAAGGCTTTCATGGAGGAAGTAGTTTGGAGACAGGTCTTTTGCATTAGGGCCACTTCCTTCACTGCCAGGAGTGGTCACAAGGCCATTGAGACTCTGCTGTGGTTTCTTTGCCTTTGAAAAGAGTCCTGCAGTCTAAATTCTTCTCGGTCTGCAGCTCCCTCTGGTGGCCAGAATGCTGATTGGAGCCAGGAAACAAATGTTGAATGATGCTCATTCGGTATCAGTTATCAGTAATGCCAGGAGTTCTGGTGACCAAGTGGTAAGGGGCTGTGCTGCCAACCTGAAGGCATGTGGTTTTACATACACCAGCTGCTCCACAGGAGAAGGATGAGCATTCTCCTCCTGTTTTATTTACTGCCCCCGAAACCCAACTGGAAGGGCAGCAGTAGGTTGTTTCAGACTTGATGGTACATAACAACATCAGTAATGCTGGGGCTCATCCTCCCTGGAGTTACCAGATCCAGACTCAGGCGTTTCAGAAGTCTGTGAGCATAGAAGCCCTGATTAAATGTTTTCAGGATAATTGACCATTTTATACATAAGGAAAGAAAATTAGTCATTATCTTTTCACATCATGGAGCTGTTTTCTGAGGGCAGTGAGAGAGAAGTAGGAGTTGAAAAGCTCAGTGTCACTCCACGATCCTTCCATCGTGATCCAGTGTGAAACAGGGTCCTGAGTGTACAGATCGGAGCTTCTGAGTTACAGTGAGTGCTGTGGGGTCAGCAGCCATGCTGGCCTGAGCTGGACAGGGTGCCAGGTTCTCTGCATATGCCGATGCAGCATGGACATTGAATAGGATTTGGTGCAAGTGTGTTGATGTGACAGTGTCATGTCTGTGTGCATGCAAAGCAGTGGTTGGCCTGCCCAGTGGTGTCAGACAGCGCTCAGGGAACATGCTGAGCTCCCTGCTGGAAAAGTAATCACAGAAATCTGTGGGGTTAGACGTTATTGTTCCTTTTTCTTTATCTTCCTGTCTTCTCTAGTTGCCTGAGAGCACAAGTTCTGAAAGAGAACACGGAAATCATTAATATTGCAGGCCCAGTGTTTTAAAAATGGTGTTTTATCATTCTCTGAATGAAGGACATTTTTAAATGTCTTAACACCAGCCCCAAGGGTCAACACACAGGAGTATTTAGACTAACTGTAGGGGGAGTTCTATAAATAATAACTGCATTTCTGGTATCTCTTTATCTTCTTCCACATATTTAAGCCTCGTCTTTTTGACCAGAGCCCAACCAGATGAAGAGAGAATGATCCATGCAGTGAGCTAGGGTTGATCTGGACTGTGCTTGTGGATGTAGATGCTCAGACCTGCCAAGCTGAACTCAATGGACATGCTTATTCCCTCATAGTCCTGGTTTGATAGAGATGGGCAGACCAGAAATGAGCTTTCTCAAAGGGGCATGAGGCATGAAGTACCTGGCGCACACACTTTCATGAAGGAAATTATTATTAAGATGACTGAAGAGGGGGAGCCCAAAATATACATGGGCAAAATATAATCTAAATTAAATTAACTATATAAATAAATAAAGATTTTAATTTTAAAAAAAAAAACAACAAGAACGTCCCAGGGACATGTGGGGCAGAATGGCTGAGGACAACTCTCTCTGTTAAGCTGTGCCTTGTCAGAGCCTGTATCATGTTTTCACAGGAAAGTCCGGACACAAAGCCTCCAGGGACCTAGGTTCACCTCTCAGGTGGAGGCCGTGAGCTGGTCGCAGTCCCCAGCATTACTCAGCTACAATGCTGAAAGGGCTCCTGACCACCAGAACTGGCCAGAGACTATCTCTGAATGAGTGGTGAGCAGTATGTCCCAGACTGTGAGGAGCCAGCTGCCCCTCCTGGTTCCTTGTGGACAGGCTGGTTTCTGGTACTATAGGTGGTTATATTGTCTGCCCTCGAGTTGGCTCTGACCTATAGCTGACCCTGCAGTGGGTTTTTCAGAGGCAGTGAATTCCAGGAAAGGAGATTGCCCATCCCTCTCTTGCAGAGCAGCTGGTGGATTTGCACCATGTGCCTTTGGGATTGAAGCACAGCATCTTAACACTAGGCCAGCAGCCCTCCAATGAGGGGAGCCTCCCATAGTACCCATTTCCCCAAGAAAGCCATCAGGTCATTCTCACTGCTTCAGTGGAAGGCCTCAGGAACCACAGGTTGTGAAGTCTCTGGCCTGAGCCTGAGGGAGCTAAGCTGCCTCACATCTGGCATGGTGTGGCTTCCGTAACAGCCTCTCAGGCAAGGGAGATGACCACAAAGGGAGAGACATCCCAGAGGAGGGTAGATGGGGCATGAACCTATTCACCTGAAGAGCCTGGCTTAAAATCCCGGATTAGCTCCTTCACCCCTGAGTTCACTGAAGAACAAGTCTCAGAGATCAGGAAGTCCTTCAGAGCCCCCTGTGTGCCTGGCCTTAGTCCCAGCTGGCCTGCCTCCAGGGCTGGAGCAGTAGGACAGCCAGCAGGACAGAAGGCAGCTTCCAGGAGTCTACTACCTGGGAGGGAGAAGCTTCTGGGAAGAGGTTGTGGGGGGCAGCTGAGAACAGGGCTCATGGTGTCAGGAGAAACAGTAAGTATGTGGAGATAGTGCTTCACTATCATGTCAGATAAGAACCATGTGACTCTGTTATCTCAGTGTCTTTGTCTGTGTAATGGCTCCATTGCAAGCTGGCCTGTGCCCTTGCCTGGCTCCCTGAGGAGCCCAGTGTCCAGGCCACACCCATCTCCTGAGAGTGTGGGGTTCTTGCCCTGACCCCAGTCCTCCGCTCTGCCTCTGAGCATGGCGAGGAGGAACTGTCAGTGGGTCCACGGCACCTCAGCCTGCAGCGTGCCTGCCTCAGCTGAGATGCCAGGGCTACCACCGCCACCATCTGCCCACCAGGCTCCGCTTCATCCCTCCTGTGCTTGCTGAGCTCATCTCACTCCAGCTGCAACGGGACATGAACCCCGCTTTCCCGGCCCAAGAACGCTTGCCCACTGGGCCCTCCATCTGTGGCTTGTCATCTGTGCGTGATTGTTCTCACTTGGTTACAGGCTCTCCCTCTCTGCCAGATAAGTACCGCCACGCCAGAGAAATGATGTTGCTGCTTCCCACCCACCGCGACCGCCCGAGCAGCGCCATGTACCCGGCAGCCATCCTGGAGAACGGACAGGTAGCGGACTCACCCTGCTGCCGGCACTCGGCCGCACGCGTGTGGCCCTGGGCTTCACTAAGGGCACTTGCTGGGGGCTCAGTGTAACCCCGGTTCTGCCGTAAGACCCCTCAAAAGGCTGCTGGGCTTCTGAGTATGAGTGGTAGAGAATTGGAGGGCCAGCACCCAGGATGTGCAGGAGGGGGCACATGACAGCACGATTGAACCACCCTTGGTGTGGGGCAGTGTGTCCTTCTGACCAGTGGTGACAGCAAACTTAGGTGCTTTGCATTTTGTCTCAAGCAGACCATGATGGGTGCAGGTTGAGACCCCCTTCTTAGCTGTGTCCATGGAGGGCACTTCACTGGGATGGGCTCTGCCTTTTATTTGTCTTTCTGCCTCACTATCTGTGAGGGCCTCTCTCCACCATTTATCCAGTTCTCTGAGTGGTTTAAACAAAAAATTTCAGGGTTAACTCTCCACCCCATCTACCCCATCTAGTCTACCCTGTGGCTTTATCAGTGTCTGTGGACATCATCTCCAAATGACTATTAACCTCGCCCCAAAGTGCCAGGATCCACTCAGTGGTGCCTCCCTGTGCCCTCAACCTTGCCAAACTAAAGGAACAGGTCTTCTTAGCAACTACCTATTAGAAAAGGAAGTCTCAATTGCACTGCCCTCTCCCCTCTCTCAGCTAAGGTGCATGTGAGAGACAGGGTTGTCTCCAGGATCCTAAATCTTCAGTGCCCTTTCTGCCGATGGGCCCCCTTGGCAGATGGTTAGACACTCTCAAGTACCTGTGTCCACTTCCCTGGGCCTTTCACAGAAAAGCCTGCAGCCTACTCAGACATCAAGTACCACGGCAGCCCTCGAGCTAGACCCCTAGGAAGGGTCTTCCTGGGACCAGACTGGAGCTCGCCACATCTCAGGCACTATCTGTACCACTGCATCCATTTTCCCTTCGGACCTTGGACAGTCCTCGTCCCTAGAGCCCATGAAGCTACTTCTCAGAAATATCACTGGTCATTTTCCCCTCTTTCACATTTGTCTCCTTCTCTCAGTTGCCGAATTTCCAGCGGGCACTGTTCCAGCAAATGGTTGGCCCCTGCAAACCCTGCAGTGATCCCAATCTGTCTGTGGCTGAAAAAGGTATCGTATTCTTCCCTCCTCCCTCCATGCTGTGATCTCCCATGTCCCCATGTCTGTCTCCATCCTGAAGGGCTGACTCTTGTCCCTGAGTACCAGCTTCCAGAACTGAGCTGTAGGCCAGTGCCAGGGTGTGTCTGCCCAGAGGCTTGGCCAACTCCTATTGCTCCAGAATTGTTCAGCTTAACATTGGTGCTAGACTTGAATCCCACTAAATCTTCCCGTTCTCGCCACCCTCAGGGCCCACCTTCAGAGAGTTCCCGGTTGCCACCTACCCTGCACTCAGGGTTTTATAAACGGGTCGCTGTGTGCAAATTGTGGGAGACTATCCCCTGGGCATCAGACTCTGGCCCCTTTGGTCCCTCAGAGGCCTCTCCTTGGAGCCACATGAGTCCGAGGAACAGGATCCGATACAGTGAAGTGAATACCCAACCTGGTCCTCTACAGGCGAGTCCCCGGCTGGGTCCAGTCCTGTAGCAGCTCTGGCCAGCAGCTGCTGGAGTCCACTGTCAGCCACACCACAGACCTCCTTAGAGCAGGTGCTCTTTGTTGAGTAGTCTTCTCTGTTCTGCTCTCGCACAATGATGGAAGAATGAGGTTCTCACCCATCTGGCTCAGGCCTGAAGCCCCAGATGTGGAGACCTGAGTTCATTTCAACACAAAGCACTCCCTGGATGAGGCCTGCACTGACTCTTCCTGCCAGGGGGAGCCTAGCCCTCCACCTCTCCACAGGTTCACATCCCAGCTCCTCCTCTTGCTAGAGGTTAAGGCACACAGTCCCCAGTACAGACCCCTGTCCGCTGGTCCTTTGGAAAAAGTCCCTCCATAGTTCCATTGTGTTGTCTTGCATCTCCTCACCACATGCTGTCTGCCGTCCACACTGTCTTTGTTCCTCCTTGTTCATTGTGGAGGACACATCTCTGTGTCCTCTTTAAGGAGACCGAACACTGGGTCCTCAGCGCCTGGTGAGCATCGGCCCTCGGTGCTCGGCCACATGGGGCCTGGAGGTTGTGTCTGAAGATGCCTTCCTAGACTCCAGGCTGAAAACATGCGACCTGGTTGGACTCCTGCACTCATGACCCAAAACTGAGCACCCTTTGGGCCTCACGGACCAGAACCCATGACGAACTTTCTCCTTCTAACACGTGGAGCATCCTCAGAACTTACCAGTCTGGCTCAGTACTGAGGATGGGGTGGACAGGACCAGGATGCAACACCAGCTGGATGCAGAAGAGCCCTGAGCTGCAGGAGGCTGCAGCCAGAAAGCAGACATGTCCACACCCTGGTGTGGAAGGAAAGAGGTTGTCTCACCTCAGAGGCTGAGCCCAGAGCAATCATGTCCGCATCAAAGGCTGCACTTAGTAAACCACCAATCAGACCTGTGCCCAGAGCACCCACACCAGATGCTTAACCTCTGAATCTCTGCCTGCATCGTCCAGGGCACGAACTGCACGTGCTTGTCTCCACTCTTGTCAGACAGGGTACTGGATCCCCTGAGGATGTCATATCTTCACTTGCGTCTCTGCCACCCACTGACTCTCAGTCCACACAAGGCTGCCCTCGGGACCATGGACTGGGCACAGGGAGCCCAGGCCAGTGTTCAGCGGCTGTTAACGCTGAAAGGAGGAAATGTAGGCAGGACATGGTGGGATTACGCCCTTCTCCCTTTCTTCCATTTCAGGAGTCCTCCCTGGCCCCAGAGCACATCTGCATGGTGGAGGTCCACTGTTGTCACTGGGCACTCACCCCAGACTGCAGTGTGTGTCCTGGTTGATAGTTCCCAGTTCACATATGGTGGCGCGTTAGCCACCCATCTGCAAACCACTGCAGCCTTGGTCCCCCGCCCGTCAGCCCTCCTGCCACCGTGGTTCACGCCCTGTGGGTGAGCTTTTGTAGTCCTGCATTTCTCACAGTCCACCTGAGATCTTCAGCCCTTTGTGGAAACTGCCCAGGCCCACCTTCCAGCAACTCATTCATTCCCTAAGATCCCGTGGCTTTTGGGGTGAGGAGGGCGCCTAGGTACAGAGGACCTGCAAGGCCATGCACATCTTGGAGCAGGCCTGGACGAGGACGGGCCTCAGTGCCCAGAGTGGCTCCAGGTTTGCTGAGGACACCAGCTGGTGGAACACAACCTGGAGCTCATCATAAAGTCCTTTCTTCCCTTTGTGTGACAGCTAAGTTGCCTGCCCACCTAGTAGTCACACTCCTACACCTGCTACCAGCCACCAGCCATACCATGAGATTGGTATGAGACTAGGCTCCTCCTTTGAAGGGGACACTTAGAGAGTTACATTTTGCCTGTTTTCTGCTGCAAGTCCATTCTAGTTCCTGACCAGTGAAGAGGGAAAGGGGGGAAGTCACCTCTTTATCCCCGAAACACCGCAAGGCTCAGCTCCTCACAACCCCATCTTTGTCTTAAAAGCCAGACTCTAGTCCCTTCTCCTTTGGTCCTATTCAACCCTGGCATTTCCTGCTCAGAGCCTAGACCAGGAAGAACCCAAACACCCACGCCTGCAGGGTCTCAGCAGCACCAGGGGCTGGCACCTGCGTTGTGCATTCCCTCCCCGCTGCTGACTGCCCATCACAGGAAGGACGTTTCTTCCTGGGAGTATTTTTCCTCAGGGAGCAGTTGGCCAACAGAATCCACATGGCCCCTGCTGCCCCTGCAGAGTGATGCCCTCAGATTCCACGGTCCAGTTATTCCTCTTCTCTGTCCTGTGTCAAGTTGCTCACAGCAGGAGCAGAGAGACTAGTGTTCAGCACTGGGCCCCTCCCTTAGTACAAGGAACAGCCCCCCCTTGCTCAGGACTCACTCTGTCCTGAATTCGTGGCATATGGTTACCCAGAGTCCCATGTACGCTGAGGCATCCCTCCTCCCTGGAAGCAGTGGGCCAGTGGTTGAGATATGCCAGCTCTGGAGGGAAACCATCTCTCCCTCGACCCCCTTCTCTGTCTCTCCTGCCCCCCTGCTTTGCCCACTGGGCCTGGTCAGTAGAGCCCAGGCTCTTGATTTTAGTCTGCTTCTCTCAGGCCTCGTCAGTCTGTTCTGCCCTCCTGTCGTGTTTCCTCCTCTCTCCTCCCCTGGTGCTTCCTTCTTCTTTTCCTCTCCTCCTGGCAAGCCCAGGAGCATGCAGTTGTTCACTCTGCGCTGTACTAGCTGTCAGTTTATCGCCTCCTCCTGAATACTCTTCACACGTCAGCATGCTCTGTCTCTTGCTGTCTTGTTGAGGTGCTGCTATCCCGGGCCAGGCTCCTGTCCTTGGGCCACAGTGCCCTGCTTGGCTGGTGCTTTTAGTGCCAAGGGCTGGTCACTGCCGTGTGTGCTGGGCACATGCCGTGCACCCGAGGAAGCCCCCACAGCAGGATGGGCTTCTCGAGGAGTAACGTCGCTTCTCCGTGCTGTCTGTTTCCACCCCTCAGTGGTGCCAGCAGCCCCCAGCAGCTGGAGCTTGGATAGCGGAGCCCGAGAGGCCCAGCCCTTCCCGTCTGCCCATGGGGGGCGCATCCTGGCACCCCCAGTGCCTCCCCGAAGCCTGCCACATGGTAAGGAGACCTCCAGTGGGTCCCCTAGATAGTCCCTGGTGTCCGATATGGTCAAAGGCAAGAAGACTCCTGGCTCAGCCACAGGCCACACATCCCCAACTGCAGGAAGGATCCTGCTGGGCTCCAGAGTCAGGGAGGTTCCAAGTCCAGCAGGTTAGTGCGGCAAGGACGTCCCAGCCTGAGCTTCCAAGAGGCTGAAGACCATGGAAATGACAACCGGACTTTGCCAAGCTTGATACTCAGCCCATTCCACAGGCTCAGATGCACCCGAACTTTGGGATGTTCTGTGTTGTATGGGTGTCTTTTACCCCAGTACCTGTGTTCTGGAGAACTTCAACATAAAGAGGGCTGTTTCTGTGGCCCTCAATGCTAACGTGTCCCCAGGAGACTCCCAGGCCTGCCAGTTGGCCTAGCAAGACAGTGGTAGTGTATAACCCAAGCACCTGCAGTCACGGGGCCCCTGTTGAGGCTCTGGTTCTGTTCCCTTTGCAGGTCATTACCTACATTTTGACGCCTTCCACCACCCCCTGGGTGACACCCCCCCTGCCCTCCCTGCCCGGACCCTTCGAAAGGTAATGTACTGAAGTGACATCCTGCAGGCTGTGAGGTGTCACCTCCTCTGCTCTAGAATCACTCCTGGGGTCGGCAAGGGGCTGAGTCCCCTCTCTGCTGCTCCTCTGTCCCCAAGGTCCCAGTCATGCAGAAGCTGGCTGACTAACACATTTTCTCCTCACAATGGAAAAACAGGAATGAAGGGATGTGGGGTGGTCAGAGGGCCCCTGGCACACTGTACACAGAGCATGAGGACAGCTGGCCCTGGGAAGCCAGGGGGCTTTCTGCCAATAGCACCAGGTAGACACCCCCCCCTCAAAGTGGCTCACATAGCATAGATGCACCGCACCCCACAGCTTCCTCTGAGAGACCTGAAATCCTGCCTGCTGGTTGCATTTTTCTGCAAACTGAGAAAAGATTTTATCAGCAGAAGGTCTCCACCTGGCCCAGGTGGGTCGGTCTGCCCTCCCAGCCCACCCCAGCTGGAGGACCTGGTCTTCTCTTAGGACTCCAAAGGGGCCAGCCAGTGGCCCGGGAGCCACTCAGTGACTGGGACAGAGCCATCTCCCACCCCCACACATGATGCTGGGGCTCCATGGACTTGCTGGGCAGTGGAGGTGGAGTGGGGTGGGGCAGGGTGGATCCCCCACCAGAGAACCATGATATTGATGAGGGCTATTTCTGCGTTCACTACTTAGCTGACTCTGGGCCTTCCTTCCACATGGTGGGCCAGCCAGCCTATCTGGAGAAGGGTGTTCTAACATGCACCCTTTTTACTTCACACAGTCTCCTCTTCACCCTATCCCGGCCTCCCCCACAAGTCCCCAGTCGGGCCTGGATGGCAGCAACTCAACGCTGTCGGGCAGTGCCAGCAGCGGTGTGTCCTCCTTGAGTGAGAGTAACTTTGGACACCCCTCGGAGGTGCCCCCACGCGCTGACGCCATGGACTCCATGCCGGGCCAGGCGTGGAACACTGATGACGACCTCGAGCCACCCTACCTCCCTGTCCACTACAGCCTCTCCGAGTCCACCGTCCTGGACGCCATCAAGGCCCAGCCATGTCGAAGCCACTCAGCCCCGGGCTGCGTCATCCCTCAGGACCCCATGGACCCACCCGCACTGCCCCCCAAGCCCTACCACCCCCGCTTGCCTGCCCTGGAGCATGATGAGGGTGTGCTGCTGCGCGAGGAGGCGGAGAGGCCGAGGGGTCTGCACCGCAAGGCCTCGCTGCCCCCGGGCAGCGCCAAGGAGGAGCAGGCGCGCATGGCCTGGGAGCACAGCCGAGGGGAGCAGTGAGGGGCAGGGAGGCGGCCGACACGTCGCCCTCAGTGAGCAGCTTGTCCAGCCAACGGCTCCAGGTCTGAACAGCAAGTCCGCCGATGCCCCTTCACCCCAGGGAGCCAGAGGCCTGGCACTCAGGAGAGAAACACCCATCTCCGTTCTACTGCCGTGAACTCGCGCGTTGCCATGTTCAGAGGCCGCAGCAGCATGAAGGGTTGTGGCTTCTCTTTTTATTTCATTTTCTACATTTCCATTTCTATGGGTTTTCTTTTCTTTACTTTGTGCAGTAGATGCTTTCTTCCTCCTGCGGTTTCAGACCATGTGGAGCTATGTGGAGATACTGCACAAGACAGAAGCGCTTTGCAACATTGCAGGGCCTGGGGCGGAAGCCAGGCCCACCCTCCAGGGTAGAAATGCACAGAATGGAAATTGCACTAGGGACCACTTTCTTTGCTAGGTGGACAGAAAAGCTCACGGTTGCATTCAGGGATCGCGTGGACTACGTGGACTACACAACATGGGTGGATGAGGGGCTACAAGCTGTTTTGCACAAATGCCTGCCTGCCTGCCCACTCTTCCAGCCAGGAGTGTGCGACCAAGGAGCTGGTCAGCCATCCTGCCAGCCCAAGTGTGTGGCCTGGCCAAGCTGCACGCCCAGGCACACTGCCAGGCTCCATGGGCCAACCCTGGTTCCTCCCCCTTGGACTTTTCTTCTCCATCACTTTGATTTTGATCATTTGCTCCCTTCCACCTTCAATACACCTCAAGCCCTGAGGGTCCACCATGGTGAATGGATCTGCAAGGGTGTATCATCCACCCTCTGGGGAGTCAGAGGGTAGTGTGGACAACAGAGGGATTCCCCCAGCCATCTTCCTCCTGGGGGGAGCTGGGCCCCTCCATGGGGTCCGAGAGGCTACATATTGAGGGACAAGCTGGTGTGGAAGTGAAGCTGGGTGCTGCAAGAGCCAAAATCCCCTGAGCTTTTAGATGTGATCAGAACACCTGTTACCCAGCTCCACAATCAGGGATTTTCAGCACTACCTCCGAGCCGAGGGCCTGGCTGCCCAGCCAGGTTTCCAGGCCTGAGGACAGATGGTCAGGTTCAGCCAGCTCCTGGATGTGGGTGGGGAGTGAGCTGCTCCTTTTGGTAGGAGAGGGCCACACAGGGATCGTCATCTCTCAAGTGGCCAAGAGCAGCACCCCACTCCAGGCCGGTGGAGACCAGCACTCAGGGTTCGGGGTGGCAAGGATGAAGTTTCTCCAGCCTCCCCAGTGTGTTGGGAAGAGTGCAGTGGTTCTTTATAGGGAACTCTTTCTCTTTCAGGTCAGGGCACTGATTTTCTCTTGGTTTATTACTTGGGAGGGTAGGGGTTGGGTGGGTGTATTTTATCAGGGTGCTTCTAGGTTACTTTAAAAAAAAAAGTCTGCAGACAAATTTTTTTCAATTTGCTTACGTTCACATTAGTGTAAGCCAAGGCCTTGGATGGTTAGACCACCTTCTTGTTCAGTAGGCACGCTGCCCCTAGTTCCTCTTCTGCTGGCCAACCCGACCTCCATAGCCAAGCCCTGGGCCTTCACATCCTAACCCCATCTGTGCCCTAAAGCCCCTTTCCAAACAGAAAAGGCCATAGGGTGTTATCCTCTATAGTTATAAATACCAGCTTGTCTAACAAGAAAGCCAGCAAGTAACCAGTTGGGAAAGATGGAGGGCCACATTCCCTTCAGGGTGTCCTGTCACCTATGTGAGTCCTTTCTGATTGTGTAAGGATTACTCCAGGCAGAATAAGGCAAGTGGTGGTTGAGGCACATGGATCAGTCATGGCAGCCCCCAGTCTTAGAGGGCAGACCTGGACTCACCTGCAGGCTTTGGTCCCTGGGCCTCATGATCTTCACGTATGTTATTGGCCTGGGGGCTAGTTTTGGACCATTGGGTAGGAGAGCATCTTTAGATTAAGGCACTTCTGAGCTTCCGTCCCTGAAGAAGGCAGTCATCCCCTTCTGCACTTGGCAGCAGGGAGGGTACCTGGGGAGTGAGTGGCTTTGCTTTTGGAAGATGAAACAAGTATGTGTTTTCCCCTCTTCATTTTCCCTAACTGAATAAAAAGGGCACATTCCAAATCCCTTATGTTGGAGAATCAGCCAGTCTGGGAAGGGTGGGAGGTCAGAGAGAATTCTTTGAAAAGATTGTGAAATATTGACTTTCATTCTTTCAAGCTTACTTGTAAATATCTATTTGAATGCTGTGTATTTGTACAGGAATTTGAGCAAAAAATGTATAGAATGTGATGTCCAATTGGTATTCAGCCCTATAAATGTGTTTTTAACCTCTGGCATTCTGTGCTTATTTGAAACAAGAACACTTCTAACCATTTCTTGTGTATTCATGTTTAAAGAGAAAGTTATTTTAAAATGATCTTACCTGTACCAGAAAGCAAAGGTAAAAGGAAAAAAAAATTTGTTACCAGTGTCCCCAGGTCTTTTACTGTATATATTGTGGTAGCATGTTCTCAATCCAACAAGTAAGTAATGTGAATTTTAGATGTAAATATCTGCCACTTGGTTTTCCCCCACTCCCTTGACTGCTGTGATGTGAATTAAAGATGAATACCTAATACCGATCCACTGAATTCACTGAATGGGGGCAGCGCAGGTGGCCCTCTCCAACCCTTGTCACCGGGCTCCATGCCCTTTCAGTCCCGTGCAAACTATTCCTCCCTCTAGTACCTTCGAGACAGGTAGTTGAGCCTTGGACTTGGTAGGAGGCCAGCAAGGGGCCCAAGAGAACTTCGCTGGGAAGCAGATGGAGATTTTTTCGTTCACGTGACCAGAGCTTGAGGGGAGATGAGGTTCTCTTCCACGAGTGAGGGCAAACTTCTTAGACCCTGTAACCTCTCCAATGTCAGGCAGCCTGGTGCTCGGGTCCAAAAGTCTTTTGAGGGGAATCCTCGCGTAGTATGACTGTCATCCTTGGAGGTCCCCCGTCGGCCTTACAGAGGGTCCAGACCCCAGAGGGTAGAGCACGTGCGCACCTAAGACTAGTGGGGAAGATCGGAAATGACCTCTATGCCTGAGCCTCAAACAGATGCTCAACTGCTAGTTCCCACGCTCACGTAACTGTTTAAAGGGGCGGAGGGAATAGAACGATGCCTTCCGTGACACTGTCCACCCTCCCTGCTACCCCTCCTGGGTCTCGACTAACCCGAGGACCGCTGACCTGTGCTCCCCATGGCGGGAGGTCAACCCACGAAGTTCCCGGGATGAGGGCTCACTGCAAGGCCTGATCGAGCAGGCTGTGCAGCAGACCGACTCCACTTCCGCCCCAGATACCCCGTTTCGGTTGAGGCCTCTGCCCTTACTCAAGATGGTTTCCAGCTCGCTTCCGCCACCTCGGCGGCCTCTTCCAGAGAGCGGCCCTGGTTCAATCAGCAGCCGACAGCTGTCTCGGGCCGAGGGCCGGCGGCACCACCGGCCAATGGGGAAGGGCAGCGTGGAGCCGCCCGTCTGGGTTCCGAAGCGCGTGGACCAATAAGAAGGCGTCGTGTGGGAGGGCGCGGAGTCTACCCGCCTATGAGGACCCGCGGCGCGCGGCCGGGACTAGGAGGCGGTGCAGCGCTGCGCAGCGGGCGCGGTTTAGTCGGGCGGCGGCGGTGGTGCTAGCGACCCAGGAGGATGTGGGCTACGCACGGGCTGGCGGTGGCGCTGGCTCTGAGCGTGCTGCCGGGTAACCGGGCGCTGCGGCCGGGTGACTGCGAAGGTACGGCAGGGGCCGGGTCCACGCGGTGCGGTCCCGAAACCAACAGACACCGAGCGGCCGGGGGCGGGGGCTGGCCGGTCCCGCCAGGTCCACCCGACAAGGGGCAGACACCGGGCCTGGACATAAGTCCGACGGCAGAAAGTTAAGACTTGATCGTGTTACTTGGTTTGAAATTCAGATGGGGCCGCAGTGCTTGTGTTCCCTATTCTCCGGGTCAGGTCCATCCATGTCTGTAGATTCAGGAAGATGTATCTCGGGGTTCTTTGTTGGAAATGAGGTGCATCATGATAGTTTTTCTCCTGGGTCTCCAGTCGGTCCATTTAGGAGGTCATCGTGAGTGCCTTCTCAAGGACACGTGTTTAGCCGTGGCTTAAACTTGGCTAAAGGGGCAGGGGGAGAGTCGTTGGTGAGTCACTGGGATGGGGATGCCGGCATGGCCCCGGTTGGACCAGGGAACCCCAACACCTTCGAGCCAGGCTGTCTACCTGAGAGGAACTCGGTGGTCCCCTAGATAAAGTACCTTGATTAATCACGGTTCTCTCCCATTAGAAATTGGCGAAGGATTCCTTCTTGGAAGGTTGGCATATTACTTGGTGATTGCTGAACATCTTGCATTTCTTTTCCAGTTTGCATTTCTTTTCTGGGAAGATTTTACCAAGACCTCAAAGACAGAGATGTCACATTCTCACCAGCCACTATTGAAAAAGAACTTACCACTTTCTGCCGCGAAGCAAGAGGGAAAGAAAATAGATTGGTGAGTAGCTGGTGACCGCCCCCCCCACCCCAGGTCCGGCCCTGACTTTGTTTAGCCCTTAGCATCACAGGCCTCTTGAGAAGACCCCACCTATCTGTCTGCCAGGCCAGCAATAGTCAGTGAACTGACAGGGGAATCAAGTTCTTTCCCAAAGAACATTTTGCTATTGCAGTAGCTCTGCTCTTGTCAGTATTTACCAACCACCCACTGTGTGCTGGATACCGGACTGCCAGGTGAGAGATGCCTGTCACACAAACAAATGATGGATGGAGTGAGTGTCAGAGCCCCTGAACCTGGATGGTGCTGCTTTAGGCAGAGTCAAGAAGTATCTTTGTGACGAAGGGTCATCACTGAAGCTGGGAATCACTGAGCTGGGAAAGAGCATCCCTCACAGAGGGAGCAGACAGCCAGATCCCAGAGACCAGGAGGGTAATGAGGTGTGAGGAGTGGATAGGCCCAGCTTGACCCAAGGGTAAGAGGGCCTAATTAAGCAATAGCTTTTGTGGCTTTGTTATTTTTTTCTTTTTCATTTTTATTTTATATTGGTGGCTTTGTTATTTTTTTATTTAAGCATCTGGCTTGTCTCTTTGAACCCTGGTGACTCTGTCTGATGACAGTCGACTCTGAGACTGAGCAGATGTTTAAACCTGGAGCTTGTTCCGAGTGCCCGGGCAAGGCAGACATGGGGACACAAAGCTCTGGCAGAGCAGGAAGATGTTCTGGAGGAGACGCTTTTCTGTGGCACCTCCTGAAGGCGATTGTCCTTTATTCCTGTAGTGCTATTACATTGGGGCCACAGACGATGCGGCCACCAAGATCATCAACGAGGTGTCGAAGCCCCTAGCCCACCACATCCCGGTGGAGAAGATCTGTGAGAAGCTCAAGAAGAAGGACAGCCAGATCTGCGAGCTGAAGTATGGTGAGTGCTTCTCAGACTTGTTTAGTAAACACTGCTCACCTTCTGCAGACGGGCATCACTGGGTGAGGGTCATGGGAGAGGCAGAAGGTGAACTAGAGCTGTAGTGAGTGGTCAACACGTACACTCATCGCCGTCAAGGTGACCTGGTTCCTGGCCACTTCCTGTGTATCATGGTGGAGCTGAGCTCCTTAGATTTCCAGTTGCCACTTCTGAAGAAGTAGATCACCAGGTTTTCATTCCAAGGGGCCTTTTGATAGACTCAGATCTTTCATTTAGCTTCATTTAGTAGCTGAAAGAGTATTAACTGCTGGGCAACACTGTTGTTGTTGTTGTGTACCTTCGAGACAGAACCAACTCATAGCTGACCCTCCAGCACATTTTCAGAGGCAGTAAATTGCACGGGAAGAGATTGCCCATCTTTCTCCCACGGAGCAGCTGGTGGATTTGAACTGTTCACCTTTGGATTGGCAGCACAGTTCTTACCATTAAGGCACGAGAGCTCCCTTTGCAGCACTGTAGGTGGTTCTAAGTGATGGGGCAGGGATTGATTTGGCATCCTTGTGGAGGAGGTGACATTTCCACAGAGCTCTGAAGGCGGTGTGGGATCAGCCAACGGATAGCTCCTGTATCACAGCCGGATGGCATGTGAGTGAACAGAGCACACAGGTTCTTGGTGCTTTGAGAGGACTTGTGCTTTTAGTCTGAGTGAAGTCTGGGCCATTAGAGGTTTCTTTTTTTAAAAAAAAAATTATTTTATTATTTTTGTGTGCATGTACCATCAAATCAGATCTTTCTGGTACAGAAGGAGATTGTCCCTGCTTCCCCGGCAGAGCATCTGGTGGATTCAAACTGTGCGCCTCTGGGATTGTAGTTGCAGCTCCTTACCACTAGGCCACCAGAGCTCCCCTCATTAGAGGTTTCTGAGCAGAGGAAGGACATGATGTGAAGGCCCAGGGCTTCTCTCCACACGGGCACAGCAAACCCCAGAATGGCGAATACCCGCATCTCTCTTGCTGAGTCAGCCTCTAGTTGTGCAGTTACTGGTGACACTTGATTGTGAGGATCAGGGCCAGGGAACTCTCCTTTGCTGTTAAAGCAGCATAAGACCTCTGGTGGCCCAAGGAAGCTGCGCTGCCATCCTGAAGGCATGCAGTTCGAGCCCACTAGCTGCTCTGCGGGAGAGGGACGGGCATACTCCCCCAGAGCGATCACCTGCCTCTGAAAAACCAGCCAGAGGGTCAGCTCTGTGTTGCTCGTGACTCAATGGTTACACAACAACATAGCATTAAAGACAATAGAAAAAAAAATAAATTGCATTTCAGAATTAGTAGCTTGGAAGAAAAAGAAAATTTCTTAAAAAAAAAAAAGCATCATATTTTATTGACTGTCCTAGGGCTTGTGTTCACCTGCTTGTACAGGGATGTGTTCTTGGAGGTCCCCCCCAGTCCGTGGTCCCTGTGGTGATGTGGGTAGGTCCTGGTGGTTATGCAGAGTAGGCCCTAACCAGAGGCATGCTGGGAAAACAGCTGGAAATGCTACCTGCACCAGGACTTCCTGTTCACACTTACTGCCCCTGTGACTATAAGATGTTCTTGGGTTGGAAGCTGTGCTCCTCCTTATACCGACAGTATGGCCTCCATCCCTGTCCAGGCAGCACCATCTCTGATGGACACTGGACAGGAGGCCAGCTTTCTTGTGAAGGACCTGGGCACTGACGCGCCTTTCTGTACATCTGGAATTGTCTCTCCCTCTTACAAACTAGGAGGGCCGCGTTTTTAAGGGATGGGTTAACCATGAAGGAGGAGTGTCCTGTTTTAGGATTATTGGGGGATGGGTGGCTACTCTTTCCCAGCTAGTCACTCTTCTTTCTCCTCCAGACAAGCAGATCGACCTGAGCACAGTGGACCTGAAGAAGCTCCGAGTTAAAGAATTGAAAAAGATTTTGGACGACTGGGGGGAGACCTGCAAAGGCTGCGCAGAAAAGTCTGACTACATCCGCAAGATTAACGAACTCATGCCTAAATACGCCCCCAAGGCAGCCAGTTCACGGACTGATTTGTAGTCTGCTGCAGTGGAGGGATGGAAAAAAAACAGTTCCTCTCTCTCTTCCCAAATAGCCTTTTTGTAATTTATTTTTTAAGTGGGCTCCTGACAAATGTCAGGTGTGAAGCCTGGAGCTTTCCTGATGTGCTGGGCTCAACAGCACCCCCGTGTGGGGATTCACTTCCTTCTGTTGCTGGTTTACTCTAGGGACTTCAAAGTGTGTGGGGAATTTTTTTATTAAAGGAAAAAAAATTTCTAGTTCTTGGAGAATTAGAATGAATATTGAAGTAGGGCTTCACCCCATAATGAGGATCACACTGCCTTGTGCTTCCTGCTTGCAAAAAATTCTCAAGTATAGTCCCACTTGGTCCTCAACCACCCATCATGTTGGAATTCCCAGGACAGGACATGTGGGGTCATGCAGCACTGGAAGATAGCAGGTACCGCTGAGAAATGGGAGGCTGAGCTTGTGATCCCCATTCCCGGTGTCTTACCTAGTGAGGGGGCTGTGGGAAGCACAGCTCTTCTTGAAGGAGGGGGAATGTGGTAATTACAGGAAAGGTCTTACATTGGTTCAGTAGAAGCAGGGATGGGGGTATGTGCACTTTGTTTTCGCTGATTGCCCTCAGTAGTGGCGCATTTCTTCCCCCCCCCCCCCGTTGTGTCAAGTCAGATGTGACTGGCACAGGAAGAGGTTGCCCTTCTGCAGCAGAGCATCTGGTGGACTTGAATAACACGCCTTCAGGACTGCAGTGCAGCTTCTTGCCAGAGCTCCCTGATAGTAGGCCATTTCTAAAAGTACTCTTCCAGTGACCTCCTAATCTGGATCTGTGGTGTCTCGACTGTGTTTTTGCGAGACTGGTAGGAGATGATTTGTACAGGGAAGTAGTGGGTACCTATTTTGTGCCTTTGTCTACCCAAGATAAATGACAACTGCTCTTGTAGATCCCCTGGAGGCCTGGCTTTTTAGCTGCTCTCTGGAAGGCTAGCGCTTCAGAAACGTAGTTGCCAGCCTGAGCTTTCGCTAAGTCAGTGGAGGCACCTCTGCTCCCAGAGAGAATGCCTGAGTGGAATAACTAAGAAGCAGTGCTTTCGAAGAACCTGTGATGCCCGAGTTCAGTTTGCTCAGCCCAGACCTGAAGTGTGCCGATAGCCTCTGGCCTCCAAGCCACACAGACTGTTGAGGACACTGAGCCTTGTGGCCCCACTTTCTGTAGGGAGGTCTGATTTCATTTCTCTGGAAACCGATTTTAAGATGCTTCTGCTGTGTTACTGATGCCTCCCAGCTTTCCACATCTGCCATTCTAGGAGCTTCTGGCTGGAGAGGAGGAAAGGGCAGAAGTGACTGTTTCTCACCCCACAGTTTCTAAGGCCAATTCTGGCTTCAGTGGTAAACCCGGGAGAATGACACTGTGCCCAATGGCTTGGGCACCTGGACAGGATCAGCTTCAGGAGAAAGGCCCTGGCTAGCGAGATACCAGTATGGCGGGCTGGTCACACCTGTAAACTTGGCAAGAATCCTCTTTCCTAAAAGGTCAGAGCAGGCCTTGCCTTCTAGCTAGATGCCCAAAGCAGAGGACAGTGAAGCCAACGAGTTAATCCAGTGCCTAATATGCAAGTTTGTGGGTCTGGAGTTTCTGTGCCTGAACTCAAGACGATTAGACTGACTGCCATGGCACAAATACACCTGAGTCATGTGCTGAAACCTGTAGAGGTGAATCTAAAGATGTAAAGGCTCCCCGGGAGGCGTGGGGTGTGTCAGTCCTTGACCTGTCAACCCCAGGTCACGTAGGTGATAGATTCCTGATGGGGGATGGCCTCAAGCCTAGTTTTAGGATCTGGGAACAGCACGGAAAAGACGCTACTAGCTTAAGGCCACCGATTCTGATGCTCACGGAACTGCCAGTCCTGTTCCATTGAGAGCAGATGCCACGGAGTGAAGCCCAAGCCCGGACCGGCGGCCGGGATCCCAGGAGGCGCGAGCCCGCAGTCGTTCTGTGCAGCACCGTCTCTCGGCCCCGCCGGCCGCATGGTGGCGCCAGAGCGCGCTGCTGGCTTTCCTGTCGGCTGAGACGTCACGGGCTCTGACGGCGCCGCGCGATGACGCAGGCTCGACGCTGGTTCGGCCAACGCGCCGTGAGGTCACGTGAGCCGAGCGCTCGGCGCGGTCCTATGACGCGCCGCCCCGCCCACCCGGCTCGGGTCCCGTCCCGCCCCGTCGCCGCAGCCGCGCCGAGTCCTTTTGTCCAAGATGGCGGCGCCGGGGGCGCTGCCTCCTCGGCTGCCGCTGCTGCCGCCGCCTCTGTAAATAGCCTGCGGGCCGCCCGCCCGCCTGCCGCGCCAGCGCCATGAAGCGGCAAAGCGAGCG